CTTGTAAGGAAAGGAGGCAAGGTGGCCTAGTGGAAGGGATTGGGCTTGGAGTTAGATCTGGATTCATATCCCAATTTGGCCACCCACCAGCTGCCTGGGCTCATCCAAGCCACCCGACTTCTTTGGGCTGCATCTGGAAGGTGAGGGCATTGAGGTATATCTGTGAGGTTCCCGGCATGTAGCCGGGCCCAAAGACATGAGGGCTTGTTTTTCTCTTCCTTCTACGTTTGTTTGATGGACAGCTGCTGTCAGGAGGGCTGCACCTGGATCTCCAAGAGGGAGCAGAAGTAGTTCATCACCTCCCACCCCCAGCCCCATCACAGTCTTCATACCTCCCATTTTGGTGCCAGAGACCTGGACCTGCCATTCTGGTTTGGTCCCTCGGTCTGACTGGAGGGACAGGCGTTTGGCAACCCTGGCCAGGCCAAACACACTTCCAAACTCTCCCTTGGTCTGCTTTGTTCGCTAGAATCAAGAAGCTTGGGGGACGAGGCAGTAAGAAAAAGGCAGAATTCACAAAGGCAGAAAGTGCAGCTTGTTTCTGTGTTCTTATCAACCAGCATTTGTTGGGCCCCTCCTCTGGGGACGTAGGACAGCAGGGGGCCGAATTTCTGTGGGCTTGGAGTCCTCGGCTTTGTGCTGTGAAGTCTCAGCTATGACCTCCCCTCACAACAGGCAGCAGGTTCCCATCTGATGTGTCGATGTCTTGTGGGAGCCAGTTGACAGCCACACTTCGGCCTTGGCCACTTCCACTCCTCTCCTAGGACCGCAGGGACATTTCGGGGCCGCTGATTCCCAGAGCCCCAGGGATTGGGACAGGAAGTTTCAGTCACCCACTCAGACCTCTTGCTGGCCTTGTGCTCCTCCTCCTTGGGCTGTGGGAAGAATGCTGCCCACTGGGCACTGCACTGGGTGTGTGCCCTACTGGCTTTCCCAGGCTGTTATACTTCGAGCACCTGACTCCTCCCCTCCCCCAGGAGCCTCCAGGCAGCCTTTTGCAGCCAGTGGCCTCAATTCCAGTGAAATGTGCTCCCTGCTATGTGCCAGCCTGGCTGGGTTCCTCACAGTGCTCAGACCAGGCTAGCGCTGCACTGTGTATAGAGATGCTTTATAAAATGTGGTGTGGTGGGGATCTATGGTTGGGTAAGTCTGAGTCCATTAATTTTGCCCTAGGAGAAGAAAGTGAATTGCCCGATGCCTCTCACCTTCCCCTGGTGTTATTCAATATGAAAAGATAGGAGAGTCAATCCAATCTTGTTGGAGAAGAAAGCCTTTAAGCCTTATCTCCAGCTGGCTTCTCCTGTCCCAGACCCCAGTCACCCCTAAGGGTTCACTGCTAGAGTTGACTCAGACTGAGAGCGTGCAGCCTGGGTGGGAAGCTATTTGGGTCCCAGAGAATTCTAACTTGCTGCTTGGGCTCACAGCTGAGTTACCAATCAGTAAGAGGGGGAAGTACAAGGGGAAACTAATTAGGAATCAATACTGTCGTCACACTCCAAAGGAAATCATGCTTGAGTATGGAGTATGATGTGAAAAAAGGAACTAAGATCTGTTGCCCAAACCCTCATTTTAGATGAAATGCCTAAGACAAAGAAAGCAGAAAATACATGTCCTAGAATGTCCACAGTATGACTGTGCCTTCTCAAATCTGGAATATTTTTCCTCCCACCTTTATTGGGGTTTTTTCCTCTGATATTTTATTATGAAAAATGTCAAACATACAGCACAGTTGAGTTTTGCAGTAAACACTTATCTACCCACCACCTAGAGTCTACATTGTATTATACTTACCTTATCACATTATCTGTTACCCCACCCCTCTATCCATCCACCAAATCCCTCTTATCCACTTGATGCATTTCAGAGTAAAATGCAGATACCAGCATACTTTCTTTTTTTAGTAGTTTAAAATAGCAGTCATTTATTATTTGTAACAAGTCTAAAGAGGTTCTGCAGATCTGGGCCAAACTTGGCTGATCTCATGTGTTTAGGTTCAACTGATGAGTAAGCTTGGGCCTGGCTGGTCTAAGATGGCCTTAGCTGGGCAGCCTCTGTTGACTGTTTTCCACATCCCTTCAGCAGGCTAGCTTGGGCTTGTTCACATGCCAGTGGCAGGATGCTGAGACAGAGAGAGGAAACATGGAAGCCTCTTAAGGTCTTGCTTGGAATTGGCACACAGCCACTTCTGTCACATCCTACCTGCTTCACATGGCCAGCTCAGATTCAAGGGGTAGGAAAACAGGCTCCACCTGTTAATGGGAGTGGCCAGACAATCACATTGTACTCCATCTACCATAAGTCGTAGCTACCACAGGTAGGAACTATTATTATCTTCATGTTATAGATAAAGTAACTATGGTTCCAGGAGGTTGAGTATCTTGCCCAAGTTCATGTAGCTGGTAAGTGAAGAACCAGGAGTTGCACCTGGCTTAATAGGCAGAACAGAGCCAATGAAGATATTAGCATGGAAGTAATGTTACCAGGAGAAAAAGAAGGAAGGGGGATCTTTCTATGGCTAAATGGTGGCACCACAGAGAATACAAATCTTGACAATTCCAGCATCAGTTCACCCCATTTTCCACTCAAGTATAGAGAGGTGTTAGGACTTAGCATTCTCTCTCTCTCTTTTAAAAAAATGTATTGTGGTAAAATATATAACAAAAATTTGCTATTTTAACCAATTTCAGGTATACAATTCAGTAGTATTAATTACACTCACCACGTTGTGCAACCACCAGTATACTTCTTTATTGGGTTTTTTTAATTATAAAAGTAATGCACATTCAAACAATACAGAAGTATATAAAAATCTTTTTTCTTCTAATCTGCCTCTCCTCCAGCACTATTAAAATTTGTGTATCCTATCAGACATTTTTCTATGCTTGCACAAACATATATATGCACAAATAATTATGTATGGCATTTGGCACCTTAAAAAAATGGAATCATCCCTTTATATTAATCTGTAGCTTGCCATGTCTGGCGTCTAAGCTTACATGCTAGTGGCAGGCTGCGTGCCAGCTCCTTTTTCTGTCCTGGGATTGTTCCTGTCTCCTTTCAGGTGGGCCCTTGGGTTACCTAGATGTTAACAGTCAGAGAAAATGACCACAGGTTGTCCTGGTAGCCAGGAAGCTAGGAGTGACTTATCTTACAACTCCTGCGCGTGGGGAATTAAGTTTAGAATTGGTTCTGCTATGTGCATCTTCCTCGGGGTTCCTGGTGGGGCACTTGTAGTCTAGGCCCTGAAGAATCCTCATCTTGTCATCTTGACATGGGACCCACTTGTCTCCCTTTCCATCATAATCATCAGAGGCTGCAAAGAAGCAGCAATAGAGGAGGAACCCAAGAGGAGGGGTCAGTCCCAGCACTACCATTCATGAACCTTCTGACTTTAGGCAGGAAGTTTAATCTCTCTGGGTTTTGGTATCCTCATTTGCAAAATGGAATAACACCATCTGCCCTGCCAAGCTCTTAAGATTTTGAGACTTAAATGAAAATATGCACACACACATACACACACACACTCACACAAGATCTCATTACGTGTCATTGGCAATGTTCACAAGCAATTAAAATATTTTAGTGGTGGGGAATTGATCTTGCTACAAGCTCTCTCTCCTGCCTTTACATACTTAACCCCGATCTCTTAGTGCTTCTCCTTTGGTTGTGTGAACTTCTAGGCAGCCTTTTGCTCACTTTGCATTCACCTGCCCTTCAAATATTGAAGTCAACCTGGGTTCAGTCTTCTGCCTTCTTTGGATTTCAGGATAAACTTTCTCCCCAGACAGTCTTTAATCCCACATCTGTATCTGCCACCCACGTCTCTATTCTCAACTCCAGATCTAGACTTCCAGCAGACTCCTGGAGGTCTCTATTAGCATGTCTCAGTGGAAACCCCTGGTTGACAGCTCCCACCTATCTCTAAATTGGTCACTTCCATCCCATGCCCATCCTCCTCCTCCAGATTTCCCTCTCTCAGTGCAGAGTCCCGTCTTCCCGGCTATCAGCACCCACCATTCCTCCCCTACTCTCCTGCACTGCTGCGTTGGCCTCCAAAGGCAGTTCCCTGTCTGTGGCCTCCTCAAGTCCATTCCCCAGAAGCTTCCAGAGACCAAATGTACCCCTCAGTTAACCAGATAAAGCCCAGACACCACCCCTTCCATGGCCGCATGTGTTTCTTTGCATTTGCCGTAGCAAACTTCTTGGAGTTCCCAGATGCACACATACTGTTTCTTTTGCCCAGAACATCTTCCCCTTCATCTTGTCCGTCAGGTTCACCTCAGCATCACCTTCTCCCAGAAACCTCCATGAACAGCCCCCACCCAGGTTAGGTGCCTTCTGTATCTCTCATACCTGGGCCTATCTTTATCGTAAGGCTTTCTTAGAAATTACTGTGCCTTCAGTTTAGTTTTCTTGTTCGACCTCCACTAGTAGACTATGAGCTCCTTGAATCCTGAGCTATGGCTTATTCAATGAGAGTCACCAGCGCACAGAACGTCATAGAAATTTAACAAAGACTGTTGGCTCGGCAGTGGTGGGAACCCATATTCTGCTCAGGATTTTTATTCACGATTCTGCTAATGGTCATGGTGTTCCGTAGTCTGCTTCCATTTGTTCTTGCCATGTTCCATTCTCACCATGACCATATTTTTCAAAACCAGAAATCAGTACCTCTGGCATATGTAAGTATTTAAGGGAAAAGTATATATAGGGAACAATAACGTGTAGGGAGACTACCTCACACTGCCTCTGCTATGTGCCTATCCCTTTCCAAGCTTTTTTCATCCTCTGTTGTTTGAGCCGCTTGGTTATTAGTCCTTTCTTGTCTCTGCAGTGAGGGCCTTAAGGACAAAGCCCGTCTTGGGCTTCAGTGTCCCCCGCAGAGCCTTGCACAGTCCAGGCCACCCCAGAAGCCCCAGCTGGTTCCTGGGCCCGTGTCAGCTTTGTGCTACCTGTCTGCTGGTGACTAACCCTCTGCTCTTGCCCTCCCCCCCCTGCAGATGATGTGCTGACTAAAGACACGGGTGAGTGCGTGATCTGCCTGGAGGAGCTGCTTCAGGGGGACACGATAGCCAGGCTGCCCTGCCTGTGCATTTATCACAAAAGGTACTGTTCAGCTGCATCCCACATCCCAGAGGCCCCTTTATGGGGCGGGGTGGGGGTGGGCAGACCCTCAGCCCTAGCCATGTTTCCCCTTTGGGTGTGGGACGACCTCTCCTCGTGCTTCGGGCTCTGAGAGGCATCGAGGCACAGGCCTGCGGATGGGCGTGCACTGTGCTGACAGAAGGGCTAGAGAAGGGTTGGAGCACCCCAAGCGCAGGTAGGGCTGAAGCGCCAGAGGTTTGGCTGTGGTTTGTTAGCTCTGTATGGCAGCAGCTGCTGGCGAGAGCTGTGCAGCCCGCAGGTTGGAGGTGCCCAGGATCCCACCTGGGGGATTTATTCTCCACCTGGCTCCCTGAGCCTTTTCTTTGTCCTCCACGGTGTGAGGGCCTTAATCAGTGCAAGGGAGGTGCATGGAGGGTATGCCTACTGGCACCTGGGCAGCCTCTGCTCCCAGTGGACAGGAGCCAGGAATCGCTGCTACCATCGGGCTGCAGCACTGCAGGCTGCTATAATTAATTAGCAGGGCCGAGGCTCGGCCTTGTGTTCCCGCCTGGGCCCCATTCTGGTTTCCAACTGGAAAGAAGACACCTCTCCCCTAACAGGGATGCACCGTGCTGCCTGTGGCCACCACCTGCTCTCTGGCTCCCTGAGCTTCCTCATGACACATAGGGCTTTCCAAAGCCCTGACTCTCGAGGCCGCGGGGTGACCATCCAGCCGACACACAGATGGGGCTGGTGCAGCGGAGGCTGGGGTTGGCCTGAGGGACGGAGACTTAGACTGGGTCACAGCACAGTGTTCTAGTGCCACAGGGAGGCACTAACCAGAACGAGAATAAGAAAATCTTTGGTCCTGCGGAGAATTATGCAAATAATCTGTCTGGTTCCTGTCTTTGAAAATACCCAGATGTTGGCTTACGAATCAGAAAGCTGTCTTGGGGCAAGCTCTGTTCCTTCTTCGATTCCAACAGTGCTTTTCTGTAAACACTAGAGACCAAGGCTTCCTTTCAGCCTCCTCCCTGGCTCGCTGTTAGCATTGCCACAAAGCCAGGAAAGTCCGGCCTTGCCTCCCCACCTACTCAGGGAAGGGTAGAGGCCAGTTGCCGACCGCAGCAGAGCCAGGTAGAGCTTGGTGTCTCCTGAGAAGCCACCCCCTCAGAGGGAGCCTCGGGGCTGCTCCTTTGACCAAGGAGAGGGCTCTCTCAGGACCTCGCAGCCATGGCCCTCTGCCATCTTTGCTCCCACCTCCCCACCCTTCAAACGTTAGAGATAGCCCTGTGCATTCTGCCTGCTCACCCTGCACCAATCTCTCTCTCTCTCGGAACTGTTGCCATCCTCCTAGGCTCCGTGCACTAAGGCCTTGGTCCTGCTCAAGGCCACAGCCTTCCCCTTCCCGTAGGGCCCAGCCCCACCCCCAATCCTGTACCTAGAACTGCACCAGGTTGGCTGCTGCTTCCAGCCGAGCCAAGATCAGTTTTGGTGTTCTGCCTTCTCTCTGCTTCAAAAGTGGGTGTCTAGAGGCACAGCTGTTTTTTTCCTGGGGTCCTTTCAGGAAAGATTTAGGAAACCTCTGCTCAGGAATCCGACCCTTTGAAAGTGCCCCCCCACAGAGCTGTCTGGTCAGCAAGTAACATCGTCTCCTTTGCCACCCCTTCCACTCAGTTGCATAGATTCATGGTTTGAAGTGAACAGATCTTGTCCAGAACACCCTGCGGACTGACCCTGCCGGGCGTGCTCGCTGACTCCTCTCAAAGGTGAGCCTGCCGGGAGGGGGTCTGGGCCCAGGCTCAGGTCAAGTCACCCAGGCGACCTGCAGTGTGGGCTGGGAAAGAGGGGGAAAGGACACGATACAAACTAAGATGTGTACACTACGAAGATGAATGTGCTCGAGTTAGAATTAGGTGAACAGACCAGTGTATTCCAGACAGGCAGGGTGAATCTCCCAAAGAAAGTCCAGGACTGTCCCGGAGTGCAGGGGCTGGAGGGGTAGCAGACTCTCGGGAGAATGGGGGGTGCACCCCACCCGGCCCTGTCCTCGCTGCCTGACTTGGGGCCAGTCCTCATCTTTTGGCATCTCCCTTTCTCTTTGGTGGCCAGGGGCTAACTGTCCCCCTGTCCCTATATGGACATTGCCCACATTCAGTGAGACAGCCTAGGAGACGGCGTACTGTCTACTGCAGAGTGCTTGTCGGCCATGGTCTTTACTGCTGGTTCTTCCCAACTGAAGCCACTTCCCTCACCCCCGCTTCCAGATGAGTCTGAGGCCTCCAGGCCCAACTCGGCCCCATCCACACCACAGCACAGGTCCTGATTCCATCAGCCAGCCAGCCAGCTCAGGTCCCCCCACAGTGTACCTACCCCTGTATAACTATCCTGGTTTGACCTCTCATTTCTTCCCCAGGGCACCTTGCTTTACCGATGGCCATCCTCTCCTGCCCCCATTTTACCTGTCCCTTCAGAGTTCTGGGCTGGCATTTCCTTTTTTTCTGGAAAACATACAAACCCCTCAGAAAAGCCAAAACCCTGACTCCACCTGACCTCATATCCAAAGGTTTGGGGGCTTCTTTTCTCTCTCTCCCTTTTTTTTTTTTTTTTGTTCCCCGCTAAGTTTATTTTATTTATTCCAAGTAAACTCCCAGAACAACTGATGATGTCAGACAAATCAGGGACATTTGCTCTTTGTACCTTCACCTCAAACACTGATGACCTGGGGAGAAGAAAAAGCAAGGGTGAGAGTGAGGCAGAGGGAGTGGAGCCCGGCGCTGGAGTGTGAGTCCAAATTCCCAGCATGATGTTTGGCTTCAGGGGCCCTCCCCAGACCGGAACCACAGACGCCTGCCCCGGCCTGCGCCCCAGTGGGATGGCATGCAGCCGGCCCTCTGGCCAGACGGAGCACGACTTATTTATTATGATCCACACAGGGACAGACAGGCCCTGTTCCTGAGAGGAGGCTCATCGGACATTGGGGCAGAGCTGAGCTTGGGACACCAGTGGGGACAGGGCACCCCTCCTGCACTGAATTCCAGAGAATGGCTCTCCCTTTCTCCCAGAGGACACCCCATTGGATGAGAGCGAGTTTGAGAGAAGAAGGAATCAACCGCTACCCTTCCCCTCGCCCCTCATCCCAGGAGGGAAAGGGCATTTTCTTTTTCACCTTTGAAAGGCGTTGTGGGTCTGTCTTTAAAGTGTTTACAAAAAAAAAAAAAAAATTATAAAAAAAAAACAAAGTCTAGTGTCGACTGGTGTTTTTCCTCGTGATGTTTACAGATTGCTGTCTGCTGCCCAACTGTAACCCACTCCGTGACAGAAACGAACCTGGCCTAGGTCTCCCGCCCAAGTTCTGAGGGCGTGTGTGCGTGACACACACAGTCCCTTCCTCCCCCTGACCCCCAGTCTGCCCTCGCCATCGCCAACCTCACTGCCTTTTTTTTTTTTTTTTTCCTTCCATTTTTTCTGTCTCAGTTTTGCACTTTTCCTTCCCTTGGGACCCTGATAATCTTGACTTTATTGCCGAAAAGCAACTTACAGAGGACCTTCTTTCCCCTCCATTCCCATTTGTTCCCCCCACTTTCCTCCTGGTTCGGGTCAGTTCAGAGGATTTAACCATCACAAGTGTCCTGCAAAAATGCCTGAACATTTTTCTTAGACTCGTGGATTTTTTCCCCCCCAGAAAACATAAAAAAAAAAAGGACTTATTTAAAAAAGATGTACAACCTACTCGTTTTCAGGCACTCTGTTTGAGAACATTTTAGCCATTGACGTTCACACGTGGCATCAGCCCATGCAAGATAGGTTTCTGTATTTATATATTAAAATATGAAAAAACTTATAAAATGTGAAAAAAAAAAAAGATGTTTAAAGCTTGGGAAAAAAGCTTTCTTCATTAGTCAAGGTGTTTTGATATGGTATTAAAATCATGTCTAATAAAAGGTGCACCGTGTGATTTTATTTAATGACGTATTGTTGTACAGTAACAAAACGAGGCGAAGGCCTCTCCCTCACTCCTTCACCTACCTCCTTAGCATTCCTTCAGGCTACTACTTGGGGCTACAGGTGTGTGAAGTGGTTCTCAGCAGGGCCAGACCTGTGTCCTACAAGGTTACTAACCCTCTGAAGTGTCACTGAGCCCAATATGCCATCATCTGTGAAGTGGTTATGATGGAACTCTTCTGGAAAGATCTGCAGGGGCAAAGATCTTGCAGTCAGTGGAGGTTGCAGGGATGTGTGTTCTTACCTGCCAGGTGTCGTTCCCCCACCCCCACCCCTGCAGCCTCTGCTCAGCCTGTTGCTCAGTGCAGTGTCTTGGTGCTGACTCATGGGCATGCTTCACTGAGGCCCAGAAAGAGGCCCTAGTTTGGGACTGAGCCAGTTCAGAGCCTTTGAACCAGAACCAGCTACTCAGGGCTTACAGAAGTTGGCAAACTGGGCTGGGCAGGCAGCGGAGGGCAGGGAACAGCAGTGCCGGCCAGGCCTCTGTCTCTGTGCCAGGCAGACTGCCAGAACAGCATTCCAGAGGCTCCTGCAGGGCCAGGCTAAGGGACACTCTGGAGGGAGATGACTCCGTGCCTCTGCTCTGCCTCTCATCCTCCTCAGACTTGCCCTTCCTTTCTGCTCTTGCATGAAGTGCAACAGGAGTGTCCCCTCTGGGCAGCAGGTGCCTGGCTCTGCAGGTATCTCCCATCGTGGAGCGCCTACTGTGTGCAATGGCATTGCAGACCAACTGAGAAATGCGTGCCCAGGCACACTTGGCAGGACACAGTGGAGAAATGCTTAAGGAGAGTTGGTGGTGAGGAGCTTAGGCCTTAGCGTCAGACCGGCCGAGGGTGAAGACGGGGGGCCAATGCCACTAAGAGAGGCAGCAGCAAGTTCAGGCTTCTCTACTTCTCCATGAAGATCTCGTGTGTAAAATGGGGCCAAAACCCCCCACAGCTCGGAGGTCGCTGTGAGGGTCAGAGAACTGGCCCTGAGGCACCTGGCACATGCACAGCAGGCTTTGTCACCACAAAGGGCACCATTCTATTCACAGCACCTCCTGCTTCTGCCTGGCAACTGTGTCTCCCTGTTCTATATTTAATTCCAGCAGCAAAGCTGGTGGGGCAGGGCCCAGCCCTACAAATCTCCTTGACTGATCCCTAGGCCTGTGGACCATGGTTATGTGCCCCCAGCGACACCTTAGGCCCAGCTGCCATGGCATCACTATGGGTGAGCTGAGTGGCCCTGAGCTGGGTAGGGCCCACGCTGGGTGCTAGTCCAAGCTCCTGGGGCTGGTGCTTATCCCCACCCCCACCCCAATGCCATCCACTCCCACCTGGCACACTGCCGCCCTCTGCTGGCTGCCCTGGCCTCTGCATCCAGACCTAGATTGCCAGTTCTTGGGGTTGGGGAAGAAGGACTGGGGGGTGCCTGTGCTGCCCAGGCAGAGCTGGAATTTGTTACCCTCCATCCAGACAGCTGTCTGGAATCCTGTTTCTCCTGCTCTGCCTTCTGGGAGGGGAGGATGGAGTGCAGCTGGGAGGTGGGTTCTGCCCACTCCCTCTGCTACAGGCCCAGCATGCTTCTGGGGGGTTCCTGGACACCTCACCAAGGCCATCCCTCTAATACCCATTTAATTAAGGACAGGTATTAAGGCTTTGTAGGAGCCCTGGTGGCACAATGGTTAAGCACTTGACTGCTAACTGAAAGGTCAGCAGTTCAAATCCACTAGCCACTCTGCAGGAGAAAAGACCTGGCAATTTGTTCTCGTAAAGGTTAAGTTACAGCCTAGGAAACTCTATGGGGCAGTTCTACTCTGTCCTATAGGGTCTCTGTGTGTTGGAATCAACTTGACAATACACAACAACATTAAGGTTTTGTAGGAGAATGTTCTTATGTTTAGGAGATAGATGCTCGCATATATAGGTGAATGATGTCATAAAATGTGTAACTTAATTCCAAATGGTTCCCCAAAAAATCCACACACACAGCAAATAAGGCAAAAATGTTCACTGTGGAATCTTCAGTGGCTGGTATTTTGGTGAACAATATACTATTCTTTCCATTTTTCTGTATGTTTGAAATTTTTCTTCGTAAAAAATTTTGGGGAAATGGCTATTTGCTGAGCACCTACTTGTTGCTGACATTGAAGGATGCATCTGAGAAGAGCCCTGCCCTCGAGGCTGACTGCCCAGCAGGGAAGAGTTCCCCTATGGCTGGGCTTCCAGAATGTTAGGCAGTTTGAAGGGCAGGGGCTAGAAAGCCGTGTCTGGTAAGGGGTGGCGGTGGCAGAGTGCACGTTGTTTGGGTGGTTTGGGGAGAAGGCTGATGGGACTCACCTCCACACTAGCCTTTGGCACAGCCACTGTTCCCATCCAGGGCAGCCATGGACAGAAAGTCACAGGGCCCTCAAAGCTTAGGCCAGTGTCACTGCTGTCTCTGTCCTAGCACTCCCTGGGCAGGCCCAGTATTAGAGGAGGGTCCCAAGGTCTGGGCTTGGACTGAGGAACCACAGCCTAGACAGGAGAGAGATGGCCTCTGCCCAGGGTCAGGGAAGGCCAGGCTGACAGGGTAGGAGAGGAGGGGCGTGGGGGGTGGGGGGTTGAGGCAGGAAAAGGAGCTCAGAGGCAGGAGCCAAAAAATGGATTGGGAGTGTGGCGGTGAGGTGGAGGGAGCAAAGGCCCAGAGGTCAAGGGAGATGGAAGGGCACTGCAGGGGGCGTGAAAGTTTAGAGGTTGGCTTCCAGGGCACCAGGGCTCTCTCTGACCCTGGGATGTGGAGGAGCTAGGATGGGGCCCAGAGCTGAGAGCCACAGGCCCTGGATAGGGTGAGTCCTGGGCAGCAGCTGCCAAGAGTAGAATAGAAGCTGTGTGTCCTTGCTTTTGTGGTGACGGGTGCCCTCTCGCGGGCTTTGGGGGAACAACTGCCAACTACCCCAGATGAGGGAACAACTGAGGACAGAGGGGAATCCCCAGACCAGCAGGCCAAGGGGAACAAGCCCTGACTGACTTTGAGAGCAAAAAAGCTGGTAGTACGAGGTACTACTCCCTGGAGAGGCGTGCTACAGGAAGAATAATTTCACTTCCATATCTAATGATGGGCAGCAGCTGCTTGGAGAACATGTTCAGAATGTTCTAAGGCTGGGTTAAGGCTTGGTGGAGGAGTCTGTCCCAGTAAGTAATGTCTGCCATGGGCAAGTTCTCAGGCCCTGAGGTCCTCACAGGCGACGTACTTGGGACAGGGACCCAGGTCCCTAAAGTGACCTTCCCTCTGTGGCCTGGGTACTCCCCCACCACAGGCTGCAACAAGGCAGGGACAGGCCTGGAACAAGGGCACCACCGCCAAAAGAAAGACAACCTGGAGGAGGTGGGGAGGGCAGGTATGGAAGGGCAGTACACAGGTGCTGCCTGCTAGTCTCCCAACAGCTGCAAATGGGGTTCAGGTGTATTTAGATTTAGATTCAACTGAAGAACAGCTATCTATGTGGGAAGAGGGGTTCCTTCCCACACCAGGAAAGTGTTCCTGTCGGCAGGTGTAGGGCTCAGGTTGCTGGGTCCCCTTGGCTGTCCTTGGACCCCAGCAGTGGGGAGGCCCAGTCAGAGGGGAGTCATCTTAGGCCTGGAGGTGGACCCATCCCATCTTCCCCAGCCAAGGCAGGATGTGCAGGAGCAGAGAGGCAGCTTCTCAGGGATGACCCTGAGTCATTTACTAGACAAAAGTCCCCCTCCCCCCACACCCCCCACCACAGAACAGTAAGGCCAGGGAGGAGCCAGGGACACAGGCTCCCCCCACCAACCTGGGCCCAAATACAGAAGGCTGGCTGGCTGGCAAAGAGGCACCAGCTGCTGCCCACCCCCTGCAGGCCCTGTGCACAGGCAGAGGGCTGCTCTGAGGATGAAGGAAGGTTCTGGGACAGAGGAGGCTCCGTGGTCTGGGGGCTGGTGGGCTGAGTGCTTACAGCCTCTCACAGCACCTTGCCTGGGTTCATGAGGCCTCGAGGGTCCAGCATGGCCTTGAGCTGCCGCATGGTCTCCACACCCACGGCACCCACCTCCTCCTGCAGCAGCTGCCGCTTGCCCAGCCCAATGCCATGTTCCCCAGTGCATGTCCCGTGGAGTGCCAGTGCCTGCCTGGAGAACAGTGGAGAAAGATCCTCAGCAAGGCCCTCTCCCCACATCCCTCAGCACCCCGGCTCTGCTCCTACCTGCCCAGCTGTTGTGCAAAGGCCTCGACCCTATGGAGCTCCTCAGGGTCCTCTGGGTCCACCAGCAGGATACAGTGGAAGTTGCCATCACCCACATGCCCAACAATGGCTCCTGCAGGCCCAGAAGACAGAGCTGCCACCTCCAGCCCACCCTGCCCAGGCACTTGTGAGCCCTGGCACCTCCCACCCAACACGCCCCGACAGCAAGCAGGCAGAACCTGTGAGTCCCGAGGCCTTCAGGTCCTCCTTGGTCTGCACCAGGATCTCTGGCAGCCGGGAGATGGGCACACATACGTCAGTGGAATAGCCCTGGGTCAGGGGACAAGGCCATGAGGTTCTTCCCCTCCTCCCTGCCTGCCCTGAGATATGGGGGTCACGGGTCAAGGCCAAGAGCAGGTCTGGGAAGATGGCTTCAGCTCTTAACCTCATACAAGAAAACATCCCTGCTCCTCTCTAGACCTCAGTTTCCCCCCGGGTGTGTTCTCCAGGCCCTGCCAATGGAGGCTTTCACAACTCTGCTCCCTACCCTCAGCTACTTGCAGGCCCCTCCGCACCCCACACTATTCAGCCCTTGAACAGGCCATTCCCTCTAGCTGGAGCCCTGGCGGACCATTGGGTTTGGCTAACACCTGCTCGTATTTCAAGCTTGTGTTTCCTTCAGGAAGCTTTCCCTATTTACAACCTCTACACACCGCACTGTGGGTGCCTGCTCCCTTACCTCCCCTCCCTCAGGATCGCTCCTCCATCCCTGTCCCAGGGCCTCTAAACAGCATCTGAGAAACAGCTGCAGGGGGCAGTCTGCAGCCCTGGGTTCTAGGCCAGGCTCAGCCAGCCCCTACCCTTGTGGGCCTCAGTCTGCTGCTCTGAACAGTAGGAAAGGGCCCCTGGACTGAGCTGCAGGATCCACCCCTCCAAGTCCCAGCTCACCTTGCAGCCCGGCCGCAGGGCCAGGACCGCGTACCAGGCATTGTGCCGCACTGTCCAGAGCCGGCTGCGCTCCTCAGCCTCCTTGGCCCAGAAGAAGTGGAAAGCCCCGTTGTGCTGGGTGATCTCCTCTGTGGGTTGGGAGGAGGTTGACAGTGGGCCCTACACAGGGGCAGTCCACTGCCCATGGCAGCCCCACACACCTGCTCGCCGCAGCTGCTCTGCCAGGGCCTGCTCGGAGCCGTGGAACTCCAGGAAGAGCGTGGGTGCCACTGAGTAGTTCAGCTTGTTGTGCCTGTTGCAGGCATCCATCATGACATCATCCAGGAACTCTGGGACCAGGTAGAGGGCAGGGGAGCTGAGGCCTGGCCTTCAAAGGGGCCTCTAAGGGAGCCCACATGGATGGCGCATCCCCTGCCTCACCAATGCGGGCCACAGGCACTGCAGCCTGAAGGATGTGCACGGTGCTGTCCACAGCAGCCTGGACACTGGGGAAAGCACAGGTGGCGGCCACCGTGGCCTCAGGGGCAGGGTGCAGGCGCAGGGTGGTGGCTGTGATGAGTCCCAGTGTTCCCTCAGAGCCCACAAAGAGCCCCGTAAGGTTGTAGCCAGCTGCGCTCTTCCTGGACCCCGGAGACACATAAGGCAGGTGAGTGCCCAGGCCACGTGCTGATGGACGTCTGGCCCAAGGCCTGGGGCTGGGGAACCATGGGGCTCAGAGTCCCGGAGCTCAGAGTGGGGCAAGACCAGGCCCGTAGTCACAGGGCCCTGAAGCTGGAGTTGGAACCCAAGGCACTGTCCCCCAGGGCCCTGCCAGGTAGAGAACTGAGTCCAAGGTCTGGGCTGGCCCACCCTCTTGGGCCCAGATTGTTACCAAGGCAGCCAGGGCACTGGCACATGCAAGGTCCACGTCTGTTCTCATGATGAACACAACCTAGCACCATCAACGTTTGCCGTCGCGACAGCATTTCACATCCCCCAGGCCCAGGTAGGAGGCCATGCAGGAGGTACATTTCACAGAGAGCCCTGTGTCTGCTGGAAGCTTCCATCACTGCTCCAAGCCGCAAGGCTGTGGTGGGAGCACTCACCGGAAATGACGGCCCGGGCCCGCAGTGTGCAGCAGCCGCCCGTCGGGCAGCACCACCTCCAGGTTCAGAACGTTTTCCCGCATGGTGCCATAGCGCACAGCATTGGTGCCCGAGGCCCCGGTCGCTGCCATGCCACAGAGTGAGGCATCTGCACCTGGGTCTGGAGGGCAGAGTGTGGGCAAAGGGCAGCCTGGGTGGGTGGGAGCCCCTTTCCCCCAACCCCAGAAACAATCCTGCTACCAGGGAGCCCCCAAGGCCCTGGGAAAGGTCCGGGAGTTCCAGGCCTACCCACAGGGAACCAAAGGCCGCTGTCCCACAGGTGGGTGTTGAGAGCTTTGCGGGTGACGCCAGGCTCCACCACCACTGAGAAGTCTTCGGGATTCAACTCCACGATCCGGTCCATGTGGGTCAGGTTAATGCAGACACCGCCCTGGTGGAAGGGAAGGTAACTGAGAGTAGGACCTAGTCAACCGTCTCCAGGTCTGCACCTCGCACAGGGCAGTGACAAATGTGATGAGGCCAGGGGGACCCCACCGTACCTGCACAGCACAGACTCCACCCTCAAGCCCTGTCCCGGTGCCAAAGGGGATGATGGGCACACCCTGGCAGTAGCACAGAGCTGCCAGCCGGCAGACCTGGTCCACATTCTGGGGCCAGACCACAGCGTCTGGAGGCTGGCACCTAGAACCAGAGGCCAGCAATTCAGGGGGCGTGGCATCCTCTGGGCACGCTCTCTTGTCAAGGAGCCTGGAGGTGTTGCAGGCCCTGAGGCTACATAGTAGGTGAGGGCAGAGAATATCTTTCTGGAGAAGTACAGAGAAGAAGACAGGGTACTCCAAAACAGGTGGGCAGGGAAAGATGACAAACCAGGATCCTTACTCTTCACTCCCACCCTCACAAACCCCCGACCTGTGCATGGACTCGTCCTGCCCATGCTGCTCTCGGACGGCAGCAGCCATAGACACTTGAGGGGGCCCCACCACTGCCTTCAGGGCTGCCACAAAGCCCTCGCTGAGTGCACCCTGTGGGGAGAAACACATTGCCAGGGTCACCCGACAGATGCGACTGAGCCACAGCCCTACCCCTGCAGCAAGCTGGGAGGATGGGGGCTGAGGGGGCTGCCAGCACCTCTGGGCACCTCTGGCCTCCCCCCTCCCACCCCATCCTAACAGCCCAGCCAGGCTTTTTCCAACTTTAGACAATCCCACTGTATAGGAACACACCCTTTCCAAACAGACCCACGGGGCCAATGTTTCACTTCAGAAAACCCACCACCACCCCCAAAAATAAAAACAGAAACTCTACAGAAAAGATGTCAGCAGGGGTCCCTTAAAATAGCCAGCCCTGCCTTAGTGAATCAAAAAGTTACTCATTTCTGTTCTTCTTCACGTGCGAGCCAAGGACAGCCCCAGGCACATAGGAGATGCAGAAGGAGATGAATAAATGAGTGACTGGAAGGAAAAGGTCTGCCTAGGTGGGCGGCTGTGGGGTTCTCAGAGCCCTTCTAGGGATTTCTTCCCATCTTGCAAATTGCCTCACTAGCATCCTTTCAAAACACGTATGGCTATATCCCGGGGCCCCAGATAGGGGCGCTGGAGCCCACAAACCTTCGATCTGACATCCCTCCCAGCCCCGCTCCGGCAGCAATAGGGCCTCGGACCATGTCAGTCAATGCCCACGTTTGCCACAGAGGAGCCCAAAGGTCCTTTGCCCAAGGTCACGTGGAGCAGGTGCGTCCCAGGCCTGGTGGGAACTGGGACCAGGCCCACCACCCTCCAGGCCTACCTGCGTCCCCTTGGAGCAGTAGCCCCTCCAGGGGCACAGGCCCCAGGTCGTTGCCCGGAGGAGAGAGGCCATGGCTGGGCAGCGCCCTGAGTGGTGTGGGCGGGGGGCGGGCGGGCAGCAGCTCCCCAGGATGGTGAGGCCGACTTAAGGTGGCGCCGCTTAAGGTGGTCCCCGGCAGGCCTTGTTGAGTCAGGCCCGTCTGCGGGGGGCCAGGGTCAGTAGCTCTAAAAAGGTGAGGCTTACCTGGCACATGGGGAAACTGAGGGACGGCGGCCACTCTCTGGCTTAAAACTCTCCAACGGCTTCCCCGGGCACTTCTAACAAACACAAACTCCCTGTCATCTTCTCGAAGGTCCTGCTGGCTCCGAAATGATTTGAATTGTAGGTTGATCTTGCATCTGACAACCTTACTGAATTCTAGAATTTAATTCTAATATTTTGTTGATCCTACTGTTTTTTTTTTTCCTAGATGGCTAATTATATCATATACATATAATGATAGTCTTATTTCATGCCTCCCAATCTTTACTCCTCATTTCTTTTTCTCCTTCACAGCATTGGCTTGGACATCTAGGTTAAGCAGGAGCAGGCAGACTCTAGTCGAGTTTGAAGGAATACATACTTCTAACCACAGGACACTGCCTACCTCAGTGAGTTACGGTTGTTTAGTGCCTGGTTTTACTCCCCTGTCAAAGAACGTACTCTCTATCTCAGAATATTCCTTCAATTTACTGAGACGAAACCATTTCTAGCAGAGTTTTCTCCTCTAAATACTTAGAAAGATTCCAGACTTTTTAACTTCAATATGTTCTTAACTTCCACATTTGTTAACGCAGGACCCCAAAATACAGTGGCTGATGTATTTGCTTTAGAATTTCCTTTAGTAGGTTTCTGGATGGTTTACAATCTTCGTTTTTATTTATCTGTAAATGCCACGGTTTTGTATTTAGGGAGAGTTAACCAAAAATCCAAACTCTCTGCCCTGGAGGATATTCGGACTCACTGCGACCCAATGAGTTAGGGGATTGTCATTCATAACCTACTCTGGCGGAAGCAAACTGTCCTGGCCCAGAGATTACCACGGACGGCTCTCACCAACACTCTGAACAAAGGTGGAGACTTTATTAAGAGTCCCTAAAGGCGCGGCCCCGGAGGCCTATGGGAAACGTAGTACCCAAGTTCGATGGACCACCCCTCAGAGGACCCTGGGAACGGCGCGCGGCCCTTGCGTCTGCGCATGTGCAGTGTTGCAAGCGCGCCGGAGGCTGCCCTTCCCCCAACTACAGCCTTGAGTGGACGACGGGACCCCTGTCTCCTCGCGTCTTTGCTACCCTGCGCGGTAACCCGGCTGGCACTGAGCCGCGAGTGGAGGCTGTGCCCCCCAGGTACGCGGGGGACTGCCTGGCAGCTCTGCGGGGCCTGGGGGCCGAGGAGATGGGGTAGGGGATTGGCTCGTGCCCGCGCGGGGTGGGAGCCCAAACTTCGGCGATTCACGGGCGGCAGTGACCCTGGGGCCGGTGTACAGAACTGCCCGGCGCTCTTCTCCGAGTCGGACGGCAGGGGCGGCGTGGCAGGGCCCTTGGGGGCGGGGACGGCGGAGGGGGACGACGGCTACGAGGACTCGCCCTCCTCCCTTTGTCAGGGGAAGCGGCTCCGGGAGGCAGCGAGGGTCCCCAACCGCGCGGGAGGGAGTCCGGAAGCTCTGCGGGCGCGCTCAGGACCAGGCCCGCCGGGGCGGGGCGGACACCTGTCAGATCCTCCGAGACGCGTGGGGCGCCCCTGGGCCTGGGGGGTGGAGGCTGGAAAGTCCAGCATGTTCCCTGGTGCACACCTAGTGCCCAGTCTCTTTGCAAGTCTTTATAGTTAAGTATCTTAGCCAATCTTCACATCTACCCTGTGAGACTCGGTTTTATCATCCCCTTTTCAGCAGAAAAAGCGGAGGTTCAGAAAAGTAAAATGATTTACCCAAGGTCACATATCCAGCTGGTGCTTTATGTTATGTGAGTGGCAAACGTTTTATTTGTCTTTTGATAGGTCTGGACATCATTCATAGGAAGCAGGGGCTGAGGTAAATAGTATTTATGTCTCAAATGGGTATGCCTCCTCTTCTTCTAGGACATTAATGTCGAGGATCAAATCATTCTAGTCAGGACTTTTGTTGTTGCTATGGTTTATTTTCACTGTGCAACTGATTTCAAATTCCTCTAGCATTACCGTGTACTTAAAGTGAGTGCTGGCTTGTCAGAAGTTTTCCCCCACCACACACACACTATTTCTCTTCTAAGGAGCCCTGGTGGTTCAATGGTTAAGCGCTCGGCTACTAACTGAAAGATTGGTGGTTTGAACCCACCCAGCAGCTCCTTAGGAAAAAGACCTGGCAATCTGCTCCGGTAAAGATTACAGCCTAGAAAACCCTATGAGGCAGTTATACTCTGTCACATGGGGTCTCTCTGAGTTGAAACTCAACTCGGTGGCACTCAACATTTCCCTTCTATCCTCAGCTTTAGGCCTTCCCAGTGTACCTGTGCCTCAGAGATGTTCTTTCTTCATCCTCTTGCCCCTCTCCAAGCAGTAGACACCTGTTGTTTGTTACGCACTGCTTGCTAGCCTGGTGAAGGAGAGGAAGGGAATAAACTCTGTTATTCTTGTCCACCATCACTCTTAGGTGAGGCTCCTTATCCCTGGGATCAGGGATGGGGTTTTCTCAGTCATCATGTCCCTCCCCCAGTGGTAGGAGACCTCTGACTGGACAGAATGGTTTCCTGCTCCTCCCCTGGGGTAACCCAAAACACCAAACCCACTGCCATTGAATCCATTCTGACTCTGACTCATAGCAACCCTGTAGGAGAGAGTAGAACTGCCTCGTAGAGTTTCCAAGGCTGTAATCTTTATGGAAGCAGACTGCCGTGTCTTTCTGCCATGGAGCTACTGGTGGGTCCCAGTGGCTGACCTTTTGGTTGGCAGCCGAGCGCTTCACCACTGCGCCACGAGGGCTTCTTCCCCCGGGGATAGAAGTTTTTGTTTTTTTCTTATTTATCATTATATGGTATTCTTAGCAATGTCTTCAGTCTGAAAATCTGTCTTCTGCTTGGTTAGTTTAGACTACTTACATTTATGATTTCTGATATTTGGGTGCATTTCTACTGTCTAATTTGGCACTTTACTATTTACTTTGCTTTTCCTTCTTTTCTCCTTTTCTTTTTAACTGTTAGTTTTATTTATCTTTCCTCTTTTTCTCCTTCTAGAAAGTATTCACTTTTATTCTTCTAATAGTTATTAACATACGTCCAATAACCAGTTGCCATTGGGGTGATTCCAACTCACAGTGACCTTATGTGTTTCAGAGTAGATCTACACTCCATAGGGTTTTCAATGGCTGTGATCTTTCTGAAGTAGATCTCCAGATCTTTCTTCTGAGGCACCTCTGGGTGGATTCAAACCACCAACCTTTTGGTTAGTAGCTGAGTGCTTCACCATTTGTGCCACATGACTTAAATTAATATCTCCAGTTCAAGGAGCCCACAATGATTTAACTGTAACCTTCTCCCTCAAGTCATGTTTTGCTTTCCAATTCTTTTAGTTCCACTTTGCTTTTTATAACCTTTAAATTAATTGTTGTTATTATTTTTATGTTTTGTTTTTGTTTTGCTTTACCTTCTTGTTAACCACCGTCTTAGAAATTCTAAGTTGCTTATCAGACTCCTCATGGCCCTATCAGAGTCTCAGGTCCACAGGTGGATGCTGCCACATTGTGATTCTTTCTGTCCCTTCTGAAGAGGCAAAGGGACTATTCCATGAGGTGGTATTTTCCCAGGTGGTTTGTAGGGATTTCTAAACAGGCAATCCTAGGCAAAGGAGCTCTGGTGGCACAGAGGTTAAGTGCTTGGCTGCTAACTGAAAGGTCAGTGGTTCGAACCCACCAGCTGTTCTGTACAGCCCCTTTCCCCCAACCCCAGAAACAATCCTGCTACCAGGGAGCCCCCAAGGCCCTGGGAAAGGTCCGGGAGTTCCAGGCCTACCCACAGGGAACCAAAGGCCGCTGTCCCACAGGTGGGTGTTGAGAGCTTTGCGGGTGACGCCAGGCTCCACCACCACTGAGAAGTCTTCGGGATTCAGCTCCACGATCCGGTCCATGTGAGTCAGGTTAATGCAGACACCGCCCCGTTGGAAGAGAAGGTAACTGAGGGCAGGACCTAGTCAACCGTCTCCAGGTCTGCTTCCATAAAGATTACAGCCTTGGAAACCCTGTGGGGCAGTTTTGCTCTGTCCTCTAGGGTCACTATGAGTCAAAATCAACTTGACGGCAATGGTTTGGGTTTTATTTGTTGTTGTTGTTAATTCTAGGCATTCTGAGGCAGATCAGATCTTTTTTTTTTTTTTTTTTAATTGTACTTCAGGTGAAGGCTTACAGAACAAATAGTTTCTCATGAAACAGAAGTACACATGTTGTTTTATGACATTGGTTAACAACCCCACAACATATTAACTTCTCAACCTTTTTTTTTGGTGAAAATACACATAGCCAAAGATACACCATTTCAAAAATTTCTACATGCACAGTTCAGTGACATTGACTATGCTCTCTAATTGTGCTGTTACTCTCACTTAAGATGAAGGCTTACAGGACAAAATAGTTTCTCATTTAACAGTTACTACAAATGTTGCCCTATGACAATGGTTAACAATCTCACAACACATCAACAATACCCTTACTCAACCTTGGGTTCCCTATCACCAGCTTCCTTGTCCCCTTCTGCCTTCTGGCCCTTGTCACTGGACTCCTGTACCTCGTTAGTCTCATTTGGTTTTACGGGGCTGTCCACTCCCAGGCTGAACAGTGAACCTCAGAGGTAACTTCACCACTGAGCTAAAAGGGTGTCTGGGGGCCATACTCTCGAGGTTTCTCCAGTCTCCTTTAGGCCAGTAAATCTGGTCTTTTTTTTTGTGGGTTAGAATTATGCTCTACATCCTTCTCCAGATCAGATGTTTAATAACAGTGCCTTACTTTTTTCTCTGTTCCAGTTCTGCCTTCATCGTTCTCTGCATTTACCCAAAAGCTGTAGAAAATGAACAAATCCCAGGTGAGTTGTTTTTTTATTCCCCATTTTGGCTTTCAGTGCATTTGAGGAAATTTTTAAGGATCCAGATAATGAAATAGAACAGCATAAATGAGTAAAACTCAAGGAAAACATTGGGAAGTACCAGTAGCAAAAAAGCCAACCATGTTAATTATGTGCCTTATATGGATTATGAATACCAATTACTTGGTTCTTTAGCATTAAGTATGAATAAATTTTATGGGCCATCATATTACAAGTATATTAGACCTTTTTAGCTTGTCCCATGTGTCTCTTAGCCTTTCTGTCTTTTTGTCTTTCTGTACATGTCTGAATATTTCTTACTGACCTATGTTCTACTTCACTATTCATCTCTTCAGCTGTGTCTAATCTGCTAATAAACCCATCCATATATTTAAAAAATATCTTTTCTTTCATTTGTATGGTTTGGATGTAGTGGGAAGATTTTTAATTGTGTCCAATATTTTGGTTTAAAACTGGAAGTCCATCTTCTGTCTTTAAATATTCAAAGCTTTAATCAGCTCTTAAAATTGCCTAATTTGATAACATGAAAATAATGCCTAACTTGTTAGTACTCCTTTTGTGATTATACTTTAATCTATGTGAGCTTTGTTAGTGCACTAGTAACATCTTATTACAAGTGTACGTTATGTGCTTGTCTCGCTATACACATCTTGAGAGCAGAAACAGTGGTTTATTAATCTTAGGTCCCCATCAGATAAGACAACTCCAGCGATATAGAAGAATCTGAGTAAATGTTTTAACTACTTCTGAAAGTGGATTTTGGAGACATGACAGGACATAATAAACAAAATGTAGAGTTGGCGTCTTATGTAAATTTTTGTGGTAAATGACTCTTACAACAACATTGTAAGAATATGTTTCCATACATACTTTCCACATCACCAAATGCTGATCATTTCAGAATAGCAATATACCATTTCAGGGATCGGTTTCATTCACGGATGTGACTGTAGACTTTACCCAGGAGGAATGGGAGCAACTGGACCCCTCACAGAGGATCCTGTACATGGATGTGATGCTGGAGAATTATAGCAACTTACTTTCAGTGGGTAAGGATGGCTTTCAGGTATAGCGCAATGTTTCCCTAATAGCATTCATGTCCTTTCTCAGTGACCAAATATTACAGGCTCTTGAATTACTAAATGGTTTTGGCCTTGAGCTTCAGGTGTTAAAGCTAAGAGATAGTGCTACCCCTGAATTTCTGTTTCTTTATTTTCAGGGTCTCTGAAGTCCAAGCAGTTAGGAGTTAAGCCTCTGGCAAGTTCTCTGGGCTTCAAACCAGTTCCTTTGAATCCCTGCTGAGAATTTGCGTTTCTAACAAGTTCCCAGACAGTGCTAATGCTGCTGGCTAGGGTCCAGTTCTGAGAACCACTAGTAGAGCAGTGGTTCTCAAAACATATTATATGTGAGAATCACCTGGGAATCTTGTTAAAATGTAGATTCTGATTCAGTGTCTCTGGGGTGGAAATGCAAATTCTCAGCAGGGGTTCAAACTGGAAGGAACCAGTTCGAAGCCGTGCAAGTTCTCTTTTAAAGAGGTGTAATTTTAAAGTTGAAGCAGTGAGAAGAACTGTGTATAGCAGAGGTAGAATCACGAATCCAGAGATTTCCAGGGAAGAGATTGAAGGTGGGAAGGAGAATCAGATAGAGAGAAGCCAGTGGAAATAATATCCCAGGGATTTTGAATGGCTTGGTACCTTTGAAATATTTTTCAGGAATCTTTTTCAAATTTCTAAACCTTTAGGGATGGCTAAGGGCAATGACCTTTATTCCTCAGATTTATGAATCACATGTCACTCTCTCCCTGCTTAACTTCTGTAGTTGGGTCCTAAATCTGATACTTGGCTAATATGTCTTAAACCTTTGTGTTGTGATTAGCTGCTCTTTGTTTAGTATTCTCAGTTTGGTAGAATGGTAACTTTTATATTTTACCTCATGGTAATTGGTGTAGTGGCCTCAAGGAAGATACAGCTTTTTCAGTACAAGAGTGACATTGTTGTCCGGGACACAGATGGCAGCAGGAATAGTCAGGAATAGCCAGTAATACATATAATGAAAACAAAGGCTATTAAAGGCCTAGGTCAAGGCTGAGTAATTTGATCCTTAAGACCCCTTCAAATAAAACCAGATATAAAAGCAGAGGCAGAACTGGTCTGGGGACAAGTTTAAACCTATTAAAAGAAGAAAGATAGGATGTGGTGGTGAAAACACATTCACTGTCTGACAATTTCAATAGAGAAAAGCAATAAACCAGCAGCAGCAGTGGGTGGTCCTGTTGCACGCATGGCTTACCACTGGATTTATTTAGTATTCCATACAGAATATGAGAGTTCCTGGATCTTGCCATCCATTTGCAAAAGGGTCTGTCTTTAGAGACCTTTGATAGGATTGTCTGCAAACCTGTGAGAAATGCTGCTTTTAAAGGAAGTTACATTGGTGTAAGTGAACAGAATAGAAAGATGGGGAAAGAACCTAGAAGCATGGAGGCTGCTGTAATGTAGGGTCAGGTGTTGGTTGCTAAACTCAGATCTGCACAGGTGTCCATTAACATCTTTGTCTCCTTATTTTATTGGTCCCTTTGCTCACTGTGAGTTGTCTTTGAAGACAAATGACTCTCCTTCATCCCTGCAGTTCCCAGCTTACATATCATTTGTGCCCTGTTGCTGCCTTTTGTTTTCATTTCACCTTCTCACCTGCTTTTTAAGTTTGTTTTGTCATTTGGCGATGGTACTTGTGTCCATTGTCAGTTTTCACTTCTTTGCCACAGAATTTTATCTTTTTCTTTCAAAGCTTGAGAGACAAGGAGAACTTGCATTGGGGATTTTTTAATGCTGGGAGACTGGGTCCTAAACTAGAGAGTCAGCCCTGTAGTAGAACACTCATGGAGACTCCCCATTCCGTTTCAGAGTGAGAAAGGACTGACAAAGTGTATTTCATTGTGCTCTTTCCTAGAAGTGTGGAAGGCTGATGACCAAATGGAGAGGGACCACAGAAACCCAGATGAGCAGGCGAGGCAATTTCTAATCCTCCAGAGCCAAACTCCGGTGGAGGAAAGAGGTAATCTCTTTGAAAAAACATTTAATGTAAGCACAGACTTTGTTGCTTTAAGACAAGTACCCTATAAATACGATTTATATGAAAAAACATTGAAATGTAATGCAAACATACTTAATAGCAATGGAAGCTGTGCAAGAAAGAAAGCTGAGGCGTGCAGTGGGTTTGGAAAAGCACTCCTCTATCTGAAGCAGGAGAAAACCCACCCTGGCCTGGAATACTCCGAGTATAATAAAAATGGGAAAGCCCTCGGCGACAAGGAAGCTATTTTTAAGCATCAGAAAATTAAAAATTTGGTTCAACCTTTTATTTGTAATTACTGTGACAAGACTTTCTCCTTTAAATCACTCCTCATTAGTCATAAGAGAATACATACTGGAGAAAAACCCTATGAGTGTAATGTGTGTAAGAAAACCTTCTCCCACAAGGCAAACCTCATTAAACATCAGAGAATCCATACTGGGGAGAAACCCTTTGAATGTCCTGAATGTGGAAAAGCTTTCACCCACCAGTCAAACCTTATTGTGCACCAGCGGGCGCATATGGAGAAGAAACCCTATGAGTGCAGTGACTGTGGCAAGACGTTCGCCCAGAAGTTTGAGCTCACCACTCATCAGAGAATTCATACTGGAGAGCGGCCCTATGAGTGTAACGAATGTGCAAAAACCTTCTTCAAGAAGTCAAACCTTATTATACATCAGAAAATTCACACGGGGGAGAAACGCTATGAGTGCAGTGAATGTGGGAAATCCTTCATCCAGAACTCACAGCTCATTATACACATGAGAACTCATACAGGAGAGAAGCCCTATGAATGTACTGAATGTGGCAAAACTTTCAGCCAGAGGTCAACCCTTAGGTTACATTTGCGAATTCATACAGGGGAGAAACCATATGAGTGTTCTGAATGTGGGAAGGCCTTCAGCAGGAAGTCCCGTCTCAGTGTCCATCAGAGAGTTCATATAGGGGACAAACCCTGAGACTGCAACCAGGCTGAACTGTGGAGAACCCTTCCACAACAGCGCCTCCAGTGTTGGAGAAACCTCATGAAGGTACTGAAGGAACATGGGAATTCATGCTGAGATACAGTCTGTGAACTCAGAAATGTGTGAAAAAAATAGGATCCCGTAAGACCAATGTTACACTGGAAGTTAGATATTATACCCAGCTAAAGAGTACATATCAGATTATGTCCAATTGTATATAGACATACTCAGCTGTGGTACAGTGAGCTCTTTAAAAGCTTGAATGAATTGAATATTCCAGGTAGCAGCATAAAGGATGTACAGACAGTACCCAAGTATGTAGTGGTTATGTGTGAGATGCCACAGAACACAAATTGTATGTCTTAGAGTTGTACATGTGAATTTAACATAGTCACAGGGAGTTTGAAATTCTTGTCCTATGGGAGCAGCTGGTAGATTCAAACTGCCAGCCTTCTGGTTAGCAACCGAGCTCTCAACCACTGTTCCACTAGGGCTCCATGTGATAATTAGGATACATCAAACAAGGTTTTTCTTACTAAACATCACATGTGTTTTTCAGTACCTTTACAACCGAGGATGCATTCCGGATGAAATATGTGACAAGTTTTACAGTAGCACATAGCATATCTTTTCTCCTGCTGCTTGCTCACAAACATGAGTTGGTGTGACCATTGTAACTGAGCTGCCTCTTCAATAGACAAAAGACAATGTTGTTGTAGTTTTAACCTGCTTCTGGGTTTGCTGAAGATTTTCTAGAAGAATTATTTACATAAATATGCAAGTATGAGACAAGTAAGAGGAGATCTAGAGCATAAAAGGAAACAGATGTGGGCTATATTCATTACTCGGTAGGCACCACAGGATAGAAACGTGCTGTGTAAAGAGGACGTCCCACTCTAGCAGGCTCTTGCTATTTTTCAGCGGGGTATTTGCATACAAACACGAGTGTTACCAAACTGTTGTGTACCCAGAAACCACCTGTATTTTTGTGTGTTGGCTTGTTTCTCTTAATACTTTATGAATTGTCTTGCAAAAATTTTAGGATGCTTATATAGCTCACAAATGTTAGCTACATTTCAGAGACTTGAGAAAGAATAATTTATTTTGAGTAACTGTCAAGAGATACCTGTTTTGTTGCTTTTTTATATTCCCACTTTAGAAATGAAGTTGTTCAGTATTCTGTTGTTTAAAAGAGGCATTTCTACTTCCTTGAGTTTCAGTATAATCAACCTAAAACATTTCCCTTTGCAACCTGACTTAGTGTAAGTTGTAACTTCCCTTTAAAAGTTTACAAAGCAAATGCTTTATAAGTTAAATTTTTTTCCAGTGGTCTCTCCATATAGTATTTGATGATTAAAGTAAAAAAAAAAAAAAAAAAAAAAATTTGTGTAACTCAAAGATACACCATTTTAGGTTTGATTGCAATTCACAAGTCCAGTCTTTCCCTATCAATCACAAATCATGCATTAGAATTAAAAATGGCGGCCATAATTGTTCTTTCTTTTTATTATTTTTGAAGGTCATTGATGTGGTTTGACTGTATATGAATGTGAGTGACTTTCTGAGAGCATCCAGAGCTTAATAAGTTTTTGTCTTTCTAAGTTGTCATCTTAACTACTAAAGGCAAGGAAGCAAGGCAAAAGGTTAATTTCATACACTGCTCTTGGAAATGTAGCTTGTGACAGCCTCCTTGGAAAACATTGTAGCTTTGTCTTTTAACATTGAGAACATACATACTCTTCAACCCAGGAGTCTCACTCCAGGGAATCTATCCCTAAGGAAAAAAGAAAGTGCCAGTTCCTAAGATTATATGTTTATCAGTGTATGTTGCTTGGAAAAAAGCAATGGCCTACACTAAGTGAGGCAGAAATTCCAGAATGGCTGTGGCGGATGGTGGGAGAGGGATTAAAAGGCTCACGGAGGTGGGCAAGCTAGAGTGGGTACACTATTGGGCAGAACACCCAGTGGGTGACTGTCCTAACAGAAGGCCCAGAAAATACACTCATCTCCAAAGCCATAAGGAATGTGCTGGTGAGTGGGCATCAGCATTGCTGCGAAGTTCAGGCCAGGGTGGATGGTAGGAGATGCCACCACAGCACTGGACTACTGATGGCAATGAGGGTGCCTGAGGGCCCCCTCCCACCCCAGCAGACATTGGGCCAGGTGGCGGTGTTTACCCATCAGCAGCCAGGTGGATGCAATTACCCTAACAAGTGGCAAGGCTGGATGGCAGCCAGGGTCCTGCCCTCAGAGTCTTGGAGACAGTTCATAGAACCCAGTGTGTCTGGGGCAGAAGAGATGTACTGCTAACAAGGATACTGCCCAGTCTGTACACTTGAAAGAAATCAAGGATGGATGCTCAGCAGGCTAATTTTAAAAAATCATGATCCCTTACCAGTTACCAGGTCTGAGCCAGTGTTTGCACCTGGAACTCACTGACTGAAGGAAAGGCCAGTGTTCAAAATTATTTCCTCAGTCCTTAACTAAAGGGAACAATCGCCATTAACTTTGATGACAGTGTACTGGGGAAAAGGGACCCAAACATTTCAAAGACTGATTTCTCATTAATAATTTCTAAATATTGATTACATGTTGAAATGACAATATTTTGGATATATTGGGTTAAATAAAATATATTATTAAATTTAGTCCATCTGTTTCTTTTTACTTTAGTAAGGCTACTAGATAATTTAAAATAACATATTTGGCTCACATTGTATTTCTTTTGAACACCACTGGGTTAAAAAAAAACAAAAACCACAAACCCATTGCCATTGCGTTGATTCTGACGACTCACAGCAACTCTATAGGACAGAGTAGAACTGCCCTATAGGGTTTCCAAGGCTGTAAATCTTTACCGAAGCAGACTATGACATCTTCTTTAGTGGAACGGCTGGTGGGTTCCAACTGCTGACCTTTTGGATAGCACCCAGGCACTTAACCATTGCACCACCACCTTGCAATGTTCCTGCTGGCCACCAGGTGGCAACCTTATCCTGGAGCTGCCACTCTTCAGCTGCCAAGGAGGCCTGTTAGTGGGTGGTTGGCAGAGGAGGCTGGTCTTACTGGCAGTAAGGTTTGTGCTGGTTACTCTGTTTTTATATTAATCACATCTCATATTCACTTGTATACAAGTGGTTCTTAGTGTAATAGTAAAATATATGTTCTTTGCTCTCTGAGTTTAAGAGCAGTTATCCTTAAAAGACTGGACTTTTTGTAATATTTTAAATAATTTACTTCAAGTCCAACTCCTCTGCCCAACCCTTCTCTTTTCTTTTCTCCTTTCCACATGTTCACTCTCCACATCAAGTTCATCTCTTTGGACTCTGTTCATGTCCTTAGTAATTAAAATACTAAATTGCCTATATCACCTTAATTTCAACATACTATGAACCACCATCAGAACACCTCATATTCCACGAAGCAAAGATGAGGGAAAATGCTGAAAGAAATGCAGAAAGGAGCCCAGTTCCATTCCTGCCAAGAGGCCAGGTAAGTGTGGACTGCTGGCTGCCTCCCCCAAGACCAACCTTGGATGAACTTCACAGGGAAACATGGAGCTATGGAGAGAACTGGGAGAAGAAGGGGGGCTTGGGGATGTCATCATCTCTGTGGCCAAGGACAGAGGTTGTTGGCTTGGCTGTGGGAGGGTAGCTGTGGCCTGGAAATAGAGCAGTAGCATCACCCCTGGTGAGTGACCAGAAGCCCACTTCCCAAGAGCCTCCAGAGAGATACGCAGTCACTGCTTCTGTACAGATGCTTTTACTGGGGACTCTGGCCGGGGGGGCGGGTCGCAGGACACATAAACTCAGTTGGCATCCAGGGTCTTCTGAACCCAGGCCACAAGCTCAGTGACACGGGCATACACGGCAGGTGTGGAGGTGGAGCAGGTGCTGCTGCCCCAGGACACGATGCCCACCAGGGTCCAGGCTCCATTCTTCTGGCATACCAGGGGGCCACCAGAGTCGCCCTGCCGGGGGAGGAAGGACTTGTTGCCAGGTGTGGAAGGGGGTGCTGGGGCCCTAGTGTGCCCTGACCTGGCAGAATCTGGGGGGAGGGTCTGGGGGTACAGAGAAATGACAAGTGTGGGCACAGAGAGGCTCACACTGTGTGGCTGTGCACAAGTCACTTGGATCTGGGTTCAGTCCCAGCTCTGCATCTACTCCTGGAGGGACCTGGGGTGGGGCTGACCCCTCAGCCTGGTCAGTGTGTAAAATGGGCTGAAGACCCCAGCTCATGGGACTGGTGTGCAGATGAAATGTCCAAGGGAGCCCTCCCTCAGTCTGGGGCATCTATTACCATTAGTTCTGGCTTCTGCTGGGGCCTGGGGCAGAAAGGAGTGGGGAGCCCTGGCCTCCAGGGAAGGGGCTCTGTGCCCCCCTGACCGACCAGGGACTGGGGCAGTGAGGTGGGGCAGGGTGGCTGGAGGAGGCGGTACCATGCAGGAGGAGACGCCGCTGGCCCCGGCGCAGACCATCACGTCGGTGATCTTGCTGCCCCAGTACTTCTTGCAGTCGGTGTTGGACAGGAGGGGCAGGGTTGCCTGCTGCAGTTTCTCAGGGATCTTGATGGCTATAGGGACAGGGGATGGGGCCAGGGCCCGTCACCCTGCCCAGCCCGCCCCAGTGGAGGAGAACCAGGGCCCCTGGAGACGCCCGCCCTCTCCCAGCATGGTTTTCCTCAAGAACGTCCTGTTCCTTTCGATTCCTTTCAGATTCCACACCACCCAGTGGATGACTTCGCTCAAGCAAAGTTGTTCAACACCAGGAGCTCCTGCCCTGGAAAGGCCACGGCACACTCACCACTGTACTTGGTTTTGCCCCAGCCCGTGGTGACGCAGAGGGAGCCAGCAGGGAAGTCGTCCTCAGCGTTGGGCAGGCAGACTTCGGACACGGTTAGGGAGAAGCGGGCGGGCCTGGCCAGCTTCAGCAGGGTGATGTCGTTGCGGATGGTGAGCATGCTGAACTTGGGGTTCTTGAAGACCTGCGGGTGAGGGTCAGAACAACTGGCTGAGGGCCCAGCATGAGTCAGGGATCTGCAGGTTTTGAGTAGACAAACTTTCTGGTGGTCCTTTCAGGGGAAACCTAAGGCTGGCCTCACCCCCTCAGCTCCTGTCCCTCAAGCCTCCCAGGGTTCTTCTCCCCCTCCTGCACCCCCAGCTTCTCAGCTGAACCCCCTTCCCCAGCCGTCCAGCACGTCCTGGGTGTACCTTAGCAATATTCAGGACCTGGATGTTCTCGGCGTCTGAACCCTGGTCATACTCGCCGGCCACGACAAGGTGGGAGGTGCTAGACAGAGCATGTGGGGGTTGAGGACCAGGAATGCGCCCTGCTCCCCCACCTCCAACAAGCTGCAAACAGAACCTGAGCCCACCCAGGTCTCACCTGACCCCACAGTGGGCAGCAGTGACCACCCAGTTCTCATTGATGAGGGAGCCCCCGCAGAAGTGGGAGCCGGTGCTGTCCTGGGGAGGGAGGTGGGGAAGGAAGGTCAGCCACATCCTCCCTGGGCAGCACGCCCCCAGCCCAGCCAATACCACAGGGTGCCCCTACACATACTCAGAATCCCCCCTCACCTGCAGGGACACCTGCCAGGGCCAGGAGCCAGGGATTGCATCCTCACCATTGACAATCCTGGACAGGCCACTCAGTACAGGTTGGATGGCAGGGACTCCACAGCCTGGGAATGGGGCAAGAGGAAGGGCTGAGCCCAGGAGCCAGTGGGCCTCTCAGTTGCAGAACTCCGGATCCCTAGGTCAGTGGCCCATGCCACAGGACCCCATTGCATAGCTCCCACCTCCTCCAGGCTCAAGGACCCCCCAGACACAGCTCATTGACCACAAGCATCCTTCCAGGGCTGCAGAGGCCCAGGGCCCACCCTGACCTGGGGCTGCCTGCCTGAAGGAGCAGAAAACAGCAGGGAAGCTAAGATTGCCAAGCTCAGTTCCTAGGCCTGTCCCTTCCTGTGAGAACTCAGAGGAGTAGCTGCATCTCCCCGATCCTCAGTTTCCTCAGCTGTAAAGTGGGGAGCAGAACAATGCCAACTTCACAGGTCAGAGCTCCTCCATTAGATTGAAACTCCCAAGTACTGGCAAGTTGAGAACAATCTGGAACTCCTACACATGGCTTATATGTGGCTGATGGGCATGTAAAATGGTGCCATAGTCTATTTCTGTGATAATTCACAATTTAAGCAACTATTCATTGTATAAAGTTTTAATTTCTCAATTATTTAATAAAACAGGACTTTATTTCATATCATAAAACGGCACTGAGGAAACAAGACAAATTGCTTTAATTTTCTCAAACACTGAGAAGAGAACAGGTGTGCTCAATATGTCTGTGACTTCTCAGCACCTGTACACGGGTTCTGTGATTTGGCAATAACAAGGAAAGTTGAACAGGTGCAGCCACTACAACCAACCACGCCACTTGTAGAGTCATCACGCCTTGCTACAAGCCTCGTGCCTCCTACTCCTGCCCACGAGGACACTGTTTTAATCACACACACACATTTATTTTTTGTAATAGCAAAAAAAAAAAAACCAGAAATAAACAGTGGTATAGTCACCTGACAGAGTACTTTACAGTGATAAAAACGAATGAGCTGGACCCACATATCGACATGATAAATCAAAAACTTGAGTGGGAAAAAGCACACTGTAAAACACATAGAATACCATTTACATAAATTTTTTAAATATCAAAAATTGTGTGCATTGTTTGTGAATTTATAAATATGTACTAAATTTTATTTTAAAAACTTGCATAGAAACAATGCCCAGCCAAGTTCAGAATAGGGTTAACCTTTCAAGGAGAGGAGGAGGGAGGACAGCTTCAGCTGAATCTGTTTTATTGTTTAAAAAGAAATACCTGAAACACATCAGCAAAAAGTTAGCATTGCTAAATTCTGGTGGTAAGTACCCAGATATTACAGTATTTTCTGTATTTTTTACTAGTTCATAATTAAGTAGAGAAAGAAGTATGCTTATCAGTAATAGCAAGTGTCCAGCACAACGAATACATAAAAGCCTGGGGAGGTCTGCGGTCACCCCTCACCCAGCCCACAGCACTCACCGCCTGAGCGCCTCTGGAGCCGGAAGACCCAAGGGGCCCAGACTTGTCTTCTCTACTCCCCAGCACAGGGTGTGAGGGCTCCGAAGCCCCAAAAGGACCCCACTCCTCTCTGTGGCTTCAAATTGCCTTGCTAGGGAGTGACCCAAGGGTGCAGAGAAGGGGAGTCCACAGGCCCTCCTGGCCAGGCCCCTCCGGCCCCTCTGATGGGGCCTGGCTTCAGGCCCACTGAGGGCTGAGGCCCCTGCTCCCCAGCCTCCTCCCCAGCCGGCAGGCACTCACCAAAGGTGGCCCCCACGAGGGCGAAGCAGGAGAGGAGCCAGAGAAAGGCCATGGTGCTGCAGTCAGGAGATGCGGAGCCTGCCTGCTGTGGGGCCCCTTTTTCATCCCCTCCAGTCTCCCAAGCCCCGCCCAGCCCTTCTGGCCCTGCCCAGCCAGGGGGGCCTGAGATTCACCCTCCCTGATATCCAGGGACCTTGGGCGATAAGCAGGGACCAAGTCCCTCTCACAGCCAGGCCTGGCTTTCAGCCTGGGACACCCCAGCCCCTGGGAAACAGGTAGCTGCCCTGGCCCAACAGCGCCGTGAACCTTGGCACCACCGGGCATCCCCAGGGTGCAGGCAAGGCCAGCGGCCAGGCTGGGAGCTCAGCTCTCTGCAGTCTCTGCCAGGAGGCAGGGCAGGGACTCTCCCGTTGCCAGCGGCACAGGGAGGGGTCCTGGCTCCTCAATTAAAGCAACCCCACCCCAGGTTTAAAGAATTCAGCTAGTCGTTTCTGGAAGGAGCTTGCAATGTCTCATAGTCCTAGGGCCCCCAGTACCATGAACATTGGCTGCAGGTTCTCCGCAAGGAGTGTTTTCAGTGTTCAGTATTCATCTACAGGAAAAGTATGTGTTTTCTGTAGTGCCTAGGGGGGTCACTCATAATCCAGCCCAGACAAGCAGGTTCAGAGCCTGCGTCTGAGTTGTGTCCACAACCCCGTAACTGTTCAGGAATTGCCCAAACACGGGCTGTTAACAGGTAATAGTTGACAAACCCACCCACGTCTGCCATGAGCTCAAGTTGAATTCTTTTCTGTGACAATTCACAATTTAAATTGAATTCATTGTAGAAAGTTTTATTTTCTTAAAAGATGAAACTTTGATTCCACACTATAAAAGGACACACTGAAGAAACAAACTACTTGGTTGTCACAGAACAATGAGAAAAGGATAGGTGTAGGAAATTCGTCAGTGATGCACTTGCATAGGTGGGAACCAAGGACTTCTCAGCGATCTATGCACAGGCTTTTATGCTCGCTCACTCACTCCTCTGGGCCAGGCACTGTTGTAGGCACTCATGAACAGAGCTGACCCTGTGGGGCTGAGATTTGAGTGAGAGATACAATGAACAAATAATATAATTTTGTACAGTATAATTAATATGTAATAAATACAATAAACTGGGATAACGAATGGGGAGCAATCGGGATGGCCTGCTGTTCTGGATCTGGACACGGCTGTCATCGAAGGCCCCTGATAAGATAGTTTGAAAAGAAAAACATGGTGGGGGAACTGAGTCTTCATCTAAGGCCTTTAGGGCCATGGTCACTGTGGGAGAAGGGAGTCAGGGTAAGCAGTACAATGTAACTGGTCTTGTTTAATACCTTTGATTTGAACTTGACTGGTTTTGAAGTTTTGTGTGTCTTTAATTTGTAAATTTAGATTTTGTTTTAGAGTTGTATGTTCTCAGCAGAGGAGATAATAAAAAACTTCAGCTACTGGTTGAGCAGGGGCTTGACCCTTGGGAACAGTGGCTATGCCCTGGTTTGGGCAGAGTCCTGGAGACCTGGGACCCTGTTCTCTGGGGAGGTCCGAAGTCCTGGAGGAAGGGTGACAGAGAGAGCTGGGACAGTGGCTATTTACCAACTGGTATGGAAGCTTCTTGATATTTTAACAGCCTCTGTGGCTACCCAGGGGTGTCCCACAGCCCTAGCTATGACCATAAGGAATTCATATTTAAGTTTCAGGTCAAGGTAATTTGTTGAAATATTGACATTTGCCGGTTGGGCTTATTTTATTTTTGGTGGTGGTGATGGTTTTTTCCTTTATCCACTCCAAACAAAAATAGCCAAGCCATTTGTATTTTCCTCATCTCAGGGATTTTTCCCGATGAAAAAGCAGAAGCAGCCTGAAGTCTTCAGGTCTGTTGTGAAAGCTAAACTCATGGCAGACTAGAGTACAGGGAGGAGTGTGGAGAGAGGGGAGGGAGAGTTTCCTGTCTACAAAGAGCTGAGAGCTGGAAAGCGTAAGGGAGACTGAATAACGTTTGTGTACATTTGCCCATGTGCTTTTTACTTCGAGTAATTCCTTTTGGCCCCCAGCTATCCCCTATTCAAACTTGACTATGAGGTGAGAGTCTTTAGGAGCAGGATGATAATTTTGTTACCAATAGTGACAGCCATTGCCACTTCCCACAGCCATCTCCCCTTTCTTAACCATAGGATCTCGTGGGGGTTCCCCTGTCCCCAGCCCCCAGAGGGAGAACTCTGATGAATCCAAGCCAGTGGTGGCAAAGAGAGGTGAGGAGAGCCCACTCCTAACCTCTCTGCACTTTTAACACAGTCTTGTGAGGATGTGGTGCTTGGTGCTTTGGCAGCTATCTTGAGAGCACAAGGAAGGCAAGAGAAAGAGATCCTAACCTGGAACTACATCACTGAGCTCCTGAGCAGACACCCACAATGGCTTACCTCTAAATCTCTGGTGGGTGAGAAAAACAAATCCCTATTGTTTAGCCATATCAGCCATGTATTTTATTATAAAAAACCATCTTAAATGATAGAAAATAACCATGATTCTCGGGGAACATCTAGCTCAACTGGCATAACACAGTTTATAAAGACAATGTTCTACATTCTACCTTGGTGAGTAGCGTCTGGGGTCTTAAAAGCCTGCGAGCAGCCATCTAAGATACTCCACTGGTCTCATCCCTTCAGGAGCAAGGGAGAATGAAGAGAACAGGATACAAGGAATAGATTAGTCCGAAGGACTAATGGACCACAGCTACCAAGGCCTCCACCAGACTGAGTCCAGTACAGCTAGATGGTGCCCGGCTACCACCACTGACTGCTCTGACCAGGATCACAACAGAGGGTTCTGGACAGAGCTGGAGAAGGATGTAGAACAAAATTCTAACTCACAAAAAAAAGACCAGATTTACTGGCCTAAAGGAGACTGGAGAAACCCCGAGAGAATGGCCCCCAGCCACCCTTTTAGCTCAGTGGTGAAGTCATTTCCGAGGTTCACAGTTCAGCCGGGGAGTGGACAGCCCCATAAAACCAAATGGGACTAATGAGGCACAGCAGTCCAGGGACAAGGTCCAGAAGGCAGAAGGGGACAGGAAAGTTGGCGATAGGGAACCCAAGGTTGAGTAAGGATAGTGTTGATGTGTTGTGAAGTTGTTAACCATTGTCATAGGGCAACGTGTACTGTTAAATGAGAAACTATTTTGTTCTGTAAGCCTTCATCTAAAGTGAGAATAGCAGCACAATTGGAAGAGCGTAGTCGATGTCACTGAGCTGTGCATGTAGAAATTTTTGAAATGGTGTATCTTTGGCTATGTGTATTTTTGACAACAGCAACAAAATAAATAAAATAAATTATAAAAGAAAAGATTACAGCCAATAAAAAAAAAAAAAAGAAAAGAAAATAACATGATAACTGTGCTGAATGTCTTCCATTTGCCCCTTCAGGTCTTCTCTCCTCCCTTCTTCACCTTGCTGGCCTCCAGGAGACTGACCTCCAGGGATGCATTTGGATTCAGCCAATGGGAGGCATCAACAGGAGGAGGGTCCTGGAGAGAGTGGGAGGAGAGCTAAGTCAGGGTACTTATTCCCCTGGTTCTCTCTCTGAGAGGTTGCTATGGGTTGGAAGCCCTCTCCTTTCTGGGATCTATAACTGCCACCCCCTCCTTGTCCCTTCAGTTTAAGATATGGCAATATCTCCCTATTGTTCCTAGCCCCTGTGTGCCTGCTTCACTGTCCTTTCTTGGCTTCCTGGAGCCCTGCCTACACCTTTGTAAACATTCTCTTTATTAAAACTCTCTCAAATTACCATCTGTGCCATCTGTTTTTGGGCAGGACCATGACTGATACAGTGATTGGTACCAGTACTGCCTCCAGGGCCACTGAAAATGGGATTCTGGAACACCTGGGCAGGGCCAGGCTGAGTGGACCCATGTTGAATGCCCTGCAGTACCCCACCCCCCCATGCCTGCAGCTGGGCAGCACCTGGAACAACCCACACCCAAGCCAAACTCCAGGAGGTAACAGGGCAGGGATGTGGATGGGGTCTCCTTCCCTCAGCAAAGCTCTTCCCCCAAACCCAAGCTGCCCTGGAAAGACCCGCTCCCAGAGTCCATTCCCTGTGCACACTCGGATCGACTCATCTCCCAATTCATTGCCTCTGAGTTACGCTTTCCCAGGCTTGCTCCAGCATTTCCCATTAAACATACTAGATGTCGCATACTTGCAATGAGGGAACAAGCACGGAGGTAAGGTTCTTTTAAGTGACACTCGCCTGGCTGCCTCAACCCACAAGCAAAATGAAAACTTCTCCCAGGGAGTCTGCATGAATAAGTCTAGAGGAAGGGGCAGGGCTCCAAACCAGAAGGTGGGAGATTTGAATAGCAGAAAAGTGGGACCCAAGGACACTGTTGAGTGTCAACTTGACAGCGTAAGCAACTTCCAGTCCTGCAGCTCCCAGCCCAGCTGCCTCCATCCACCTTGACTGGCACCCACCCTGCGGCAGGCAGCCAGAGCCAAGGCCGATTCCTGCCTGAGAGAGCAGCACACAGCCCAGGGGTGGAAGAGGGTGGGTGCGCTAAGGGAAGGGACCGGCGGGGCAAAGGCACAGGGGCAGGAAGTTCAGGGCACATTTGCAGAATGGTGGTGAACTGATTAGTTTTAAATGCAAGGGGGACTGTAGAGAAATGAGGTGGGAAAGGTCATCTGTGCCTTGTCTATGATGGTTTTAATCTTTTTTAAAGGGAGCATTCAAGCATTACTCTTAAATTTTTTAAGACTTAGATAAAGAAGAGAATTTTTTAATGATCAATAACCTGCAACTAAATAACTTGAATTAACTAGATCAGCAAAAAATATATAAATACGTGTGTGTGTGTCTGTAAACACGAGGCAAAATGTTAACAGGTGGCAAATCTAGGTGAAGCTTATGTGGGGGATCACTGGCCTATTTTTGCAACTTTCCTAAAGTTTTGAAACTTTCAAAAATAAGTTGGGAAAAAAAAGAAAAAAAATTAAATGTTAATAGAAATGTCTCTGCCTGAGGAGACCTGTGGAGAAAGAGCAATGATTTGGTTCCTGTAACACTAACTGCTCTAACAAATAGACTTAAACGTGCAGTGTTGCAGGACAGGCAGTGGAAGCAGGAGGGATGCTATGCTCCACACAATCATCCAGGGCCCCAGGATGACAGCAGCTCTGCCTTATGTCTTCCCTGGGCACCAGACCAGCCGGGGAGGGGAAAGAGCATGGGGCACAGGATCAAATCCTTCTATTTGGCTATTAAAGGAAAACTGACAGTTTCCAATAAACATATACCTACCTTATGACCCAGGCCTTCCACTCCTTGGAATTTGACCAAAAGAATCTACAACTCTGCCATTGGGGGGTCCTTCCTCTCAGATGGGGGTTGGGGAAAGGGTGCCACCTTTGGGTCCCTTAGGCGAGGGTGGGAAAGGCAGTGCTGGGTGCAGGTTCCTGGCAGGAGTGGGGGCACCTGGCAGGCAGGGATCTCCCTCCCCCAACTCCAGCTGCACTTGTTCCCAAAAGCCTCGGCAACCCGGGGAAAGGAGGGGACATGGATAGTCAGGGTAGGGCCAGCTGTTGGCTCCCACGGCAGGCCACGGGTCGGCTCAGGCCAGGCCCAGGGCTGCTGGGGTGTGGCCTCTGCCCCAGCAGCCCCATACCCTCACCCACTCACCATTTCCTCCCTCAACATGTGCCCCAGTGGCTCCATGGCAGAAAGGCACCACGGTGGCAGGGAAGATCAGCCTCACCCCAAAATTTCTCCCTCCGCAGCTTCCCAATTGTTGGGAAAGAGTCCCATTACCCATGCTGTTGCCCAAGCCGGAAACCAGGTCTCCCTGCCCCACCACTCCACCTGGTTCACCTCCGGGATGATGGCAGAGTCCCTCCACTCTGCTTCCCTGGGGAGAAGGAGGACATTCCTGGGGCTGCCCTGAGGCCTCGCACCCTGTGTCAGGGACAGGGAAGACAAGTCTAGAGGGACAGGAAATTCTCTGTACACTCAGTGACTCCCAAACAGGCTCAGATGGCAAGCATGAGGGCAGTGGAGGCTTGCCCCCAACAGCCCTTTTGGGACCTAGAGCCCAGCCTTTTAAACTCCTGCTCACTGAGCACTTACATGGGCCAGGAGCAGAGCCAGTGCTAACTCATGTTGAATCCTTACACTGACCCTGTGAGGTTAGCAACTTCTGATCCCCATTTTGCTGATGGAGAAACTGAGACTCAGAGAGGTTTTGCTAGGCAGGGATGAGCCCAGATTGAAACCCATAGAGCCCAGCCCCGAGCCCTTGCTTTGGCCCCACTGCCCACCTCACACTCAACCTGTTCCGCTTGGCTGGGCTGAGGTGGGGGCCAAGTCTGGTTCCTCTGCGTCCCAGAGCCCAGGCACAGGACTGATGTGCTGTCCCAGGGTTGGGGTGGGCAAGGCAGGGCAGGCTTCTCAGAGGTGGGGTGGGAGACAGGTTCTGGGTCCCAGAGGCTGAGGTGGTGGGACCTGGATGGGTGGGGCCCAGAGTCGACCTTGGTCTGACTCTTCACCCCCTGCCCCCATCCCTAGGCTGTGGGCTCCCTGCCATCCATCCCATGCTCAGCGGCCTCTCCCGAATTATCATTGGGGAGGACACTGTTCCTGGCTCCTGGCCGTGGCAGGTGTCCCTGCAGGTGAGGACCTGCCCCTCTACCCTGAGGCAGTGGGTAGAGGAAGGAGAAGGAGGGTGGCAGGGAGAGGACACCACCCTGGAGGAGACGGAGGGCCTCAAGCCAGTTCTGACCCTCCCCATCTCCCTTCCCAGGACAGCACTGGCTTCCACTTCTGTGGAGGCTGTCTCATCAGCAAGGACTGGGTAGTCACCGCTGCCCATTGTGGGATCAGGTGAGGCCCAGGTCTGTAGGGCAACCCTTTGGGTGGAAGGGAGGACCCTCAGCACTGAGGATGAGTCCTTTGACTCGTTCAAGCCTCAGTTCCCTTATCTGCAAATGTGTAGAAAACACCAGTCCTGCCCATCTCCCAGGGTTGCTGGGAAGTAAAAACATGTCAGGTTGTATGTGCAGTTGGCTGAGGCTGCATATGCTGGTATTCTGAGCTCCCGTCTCTGTGATCAATACCACACATGGTGTGCACACACGTAGACTCACCGATATGGGCACATGAGCACACACACAGATACACTCACATGCCTATACATGTGCACTTGCATGCACGCTTGCACTCCCACACGTACGCACACTGTACCCTCATCATGCCCCCCACCTCATGGCAGGAACCCCCCTCCTTTGTTTGGCCCTCTCCAGAACCTCGCACCTGGTCGTGGCTGGAGAGTTTGATCAGGGCTCAGATGCCAAGGCCATCCAGGTGTTGAAGACTGTCAAGGTATGGTGACCACAGGAGTCCAATGTGACCCCCAGGCAGAGGAAGGCTCTAGGGAGTGTCATCCAGGGCAAGCTGGGCTGGACCAGGAAGCTGGAAACCTCCCTCACCTGGGCCCTTCCAGATCACCCCAATACCTCTGATGAGACAAAGAAGCAAAGCAGAAAGCAGGGTGAACAAGGTTTCCACACGAAGGGAGGTCTGCCCCTCGGCCTGGTCCTTGGCTCCCAGGGCCACAGAAGGAGCTGCCAAGTTGGACAGGCCAATGTCCATAAAAAACTAAGGATGATGAGGGGAAGCCATGTGCCTCTGCTCAGGCCTCTGGCCATATAGCAGCTTCCTCCCCAACTCCCACTGCACCTGTCCGCCCTGACCCACAGGTCTTCAAGAACCCCAAGTTCAATATGTTTACCATCAACCATGACATCACCCTATTGAAGCTAGCCACGCCCGCCCACTTCTCCCAGACCTTGTTCGCTGTGTGCCTGCCCAATGAGGGTGACAACTTCCCGACTGGCTCCCTCTGTGCCACCATGGGCTAGGGCCTGACTAAGCACACCAGTCAGTGAGTGGCTAGCCTAGTGGGTAAGTGGGAGGTGTGCGCCACCAGGCAGGGTAGGGCTGCAGGTGCTGACACCATCCTGCCCTTCCAGACACCAACAACCCCGAGCGCCTGCAGCAGGTGGCCCTGCCCCTCCTGTCCAATGCCAACTGCAAGTTCTGGGGCAGCAAGATCACTGACTTCATAGTCTGCACCGGGGCCAGTGGCATCTCTTCCTGCATGGTACTGGTCTTGGGGCTCTTCCCGGCACCTCTTCTCTTCCGGCATCCCTTCTCTCCCAAATCCAGTGGTGGGTTCAGGCAAAAGCCCAGGCCAGAGTCTTGGGTAGGGAGAGAGGAAACAAAAGAAGCAGGCGGGCCTCTCTCCAAGGTTTGCCTCTCTCCCTGGGCTTGCCTGCCCAAGCAGACAGGGAAACAGGGCTCCTGGGGGACCCAGGACCTCAGCAGAGGGGCATCAGAAGAAGATCTCTGGTCCCAGAACCATGATGTTGAAAAATACGACAAAGTTGTCTAAGAAAATGGCACCTCCTGGAGTTGTGCAGTATGCAGCCGGGGGACACGGTGGCCTAGTCACCTCCAGAAGGGCTAACCAGCCCTTCCTCCCTCACAGCGCCACCCAAGCTCTTCTTCCTATTAGTCAAATCAGCTTTACTGAAACTCTATTATGGACCCCAGAGTCTCTGGGTGGTGCAAACAGTTAATGCACTCAGCTGCTAACTGAAAGGTTGGTGATTTGAATCCACCCAGAGGTGTTCCAGAAGAAAGGCCTGGAAATCTACTTCCAAAAAATCAGCCACTGAAAACACTATGGAGCAGAGTTCTCCTTCAACACACATGGGGTGGGTTCACCATGAGTTAGAATTGACTCGAGGGCAACTGTTTTTTTAAATTTTATTATAGTGAATCCTGCCCCCAGGCATGATTCAGACTTCCTTGGGGAGAGACCACAGCAAGAGCTGCTGAGGTTTTGTTCATAATCCGTCCAGTGTGACTATAATGAGTGTCAGGCCCTGGACTAGACTGTGAGACCAAGTCCAGGGGCCACTGAGGCCAGGCCGCTTGAGCCGCCAGCTCCAAGCCACCCCTCCCTCCCTCTGCAGGGCAACTCCAGCGGCCCCCTGGTCTGTCAGAAAGAGGGTGCCTGGACCCTAGTGGGTACTGTGTCCTGGGGCAGCAGCACCTGCTCCACCTCCAGGCCTGGTGTGTACGCCCGTCACCAGCCTCATGCCTTGGGTGCAAGAGATCCTAGCGGCCAACTGAGCCTGCAGCCCCTCCCAGGCCCTACCGACTGCGCCACAGAAAACCTCAATAACCCTGTGGAAACATGTCAGTGGTATCTGTGTCCTGTGTCAGGCCCTCCGAGGTCTCTCTCTGCTCCTGAACATGGAACTTCCCTGAGCTGGACGGGGCAGGCCCAGCACACAGTGGGGATCTCTAGGGGCCTCTCCCAAGTCCCTTTCCCTACCGCCCGGGCCCCAGCTCCCCAGAGTGGCCAGGAAGGCCACAAGAGAGAAAATGGGGGTTCAGAGAAGGACCTGTGCAGGGCCCCCCACAAGGAGTAGGCTGCTGAGGGAGGAAGGCCACACTGATCCCACATACCTGTGTCTCTGGAATCTTTCCAGGACTCTCAAGTGTGGCCTCTTCCCAGGCCCACGCTGGGGCCAGGTGGCCCATCAGCCCAAGAACTCATGAGAAGAGCAGGGGATGGCGAGGCCAACTGTGATTGGTGGGCTTGGGGAATATAATGGGGTCCATCAGGCAGGCCCATGCCTCCTCCCAGCCACACACCATGGCCTTTCTCCGGATCGTCCTTGGCTTCCTCCTCCTTGGCACCAGCTTCAGTAAGTGCTGGGCTCAGGCAGGGCTTGGAGGCAGGCTTGGCAGTCCCAGGTCGTACCTCACCTGTCATCTGACCCCAATGCCTAGGAACAGGGAGGTCCCAGCCCTCAGACAGTTGCACCTTGACAGAGGCACTAGCTTCCCCCTTGTGGGTAGATCTTCCCTCTCCCCTTCATTCTCACAACCGCCCCCCTCATTTACACCCCCAGCCCTCAGCTGCTCCTGCCCAGCCTCCCTGGTTCTGGGGCCCCCTCCAGGCCTCAGCTTCCACATCAGGTTCACACACCCACGACCTATGGGAAACTACCACCTGGAGGTCCCATGAGCACCTAAAACTCAACTAGACATACCTGGGTCTCCTCCTTGTCTCCGTCTCCTCCATCCACTCAGACACCCACCCCAGAAGCTGGGAAATCATTCTGGCTCCTTCACCCTCTAAATCCACCACCAAGACTGTAGATTCTGCCTCACAAATGTCTCGCCTGCCTCCTCAGCCCCAGCCCCTCCACCCTCGGGACTTGGGCAGCCTCTCAGGTTTGTGCCCTCCAGATGGGGCAACACCTTCACCTCAATCAGCTCTTGCCACAAACTCAGAGGTGTGAGAGCACCAAGGACATCAAAGAGCAGGGGAGCCCAGCCCCCAAGTCCAGGGATCCTGAGCTCAGGCACACAGTGGTTGGGGTGCTGCCCACTGGCAGTGCCTGGGCCTGGCCTCCCAGCTCTGGACCACCAGATCCAGACCTTGATCACAGGTGCCCTCAGTCCCAAGCTCCCCCACAGGGCCCCTGAGAGTGGCTGCTGAGTAGGGCAGGCACTGTGTGCCCCGGAAGAGCCAAAGCTCGGGGCACTGCGGAGGCCTGGAGGTGCCAGGCTCCAGCCCTGCCCTCCTGGGATGCCATCAACCAACCAGCCACCCTGTCCCTGCCCAAAGGCTGCGGGGTCCCCGCCATCCATCCTGAGCTGAGTGGCCTGTCCAGGATTGTCAATGGGGAGGACGCTGTCCCTGCCTCCTAGCCCTAGCAGGTGTCCCTGCAGGTGAGGAGGAGGCTGAGGAAGGGTAGGGGTAGGGAGACCTGCAGAGGAGGTCGGGCAGGAGAGAGGCAAGGCCAACTCTCCCCATACTCCCCTCCCACAGACCAGCTCCAGTTTTCACTTCTGCAGGGGCTTCCTCATCAGCAAGGACTGGGTGATCACCGTTGCCCACTGGGGGGTCAGGTGAGGCTGCGGCTCAGGCAGTTGGGGCCCCTGCGCTGTCAAAGAATGACCCTCACCACTCCCAACCCCAACCAGAACCCCAGGCCACCAAGATCCCAGCTTGGGGAACTCTGGTCTAGTCCTGTGCCCTCATTATACAGATGGGAAAACTGAGGCCTAGAGTAAGAAAGGAAGACTCAAGGTCATCATGAGATTCCGTGGCCCAACTGGGGCCCACCCTATCCGGCACCTTTCTCGAACCCCTCTGAAGAGGCAGCTGTGAGCCTGAGTACCTTGGCCACCTCCTCTCTCTCCAGGAGGAGCCACTGGGTGGTGGTCAAGGTGTCTGACTGCAGCTCCGACCAGGAGCTGAGGACTGCTGAGTTACAGCTGGGAGGGCACGGAGGAGGGTGGGCTTTGGCCAGGGTTCCTGGGAACTCGGAGGGTCTAGGCAGGCCGGGAACGTAGCCATAGGAGCCCCTGGCCCCAAGGGCTCAGGTGTGCCCCACACCTGCCCTCTCTGCCTCCAGTGCTTATGAGCGCCTCTCCCAAAATTGTCTTTCTTTCCCCCAAGTAATAAAGCTCCTTTTAAAATATGGAGACTCGTTTTTTATTATAAAATAATTTATGCTCATTGTAGACAAATGTGAAAAAATATAAAAATTAAACATCACCATGTCACGTGCCACGTTCCCATCAGCCGTTGTTCCCAACCTCCAGATTCTCTGTACAGCCCTACCAGATCCCAGCCTCCCCTTTTTTCTCCCATGTTCTCCATTCCGTCCCACAGGTGTCTGAACACACCCCGTGGGGCCAGTGGACAGTCCACAACGACATCACCCTGCTGAAGCTGGCCGTGCCCGCCCACCTCTCTGAGACCGTGTCCCACGTCTGCCAGCCCAGTGCCAGCGCCAACGTCCCTGTGGACTCCCTCTGCACCACCACGGGCTGGGGCAACACCAGGCAGAATGGTAAGTGTCCCCTGTGGGGGCTTTTTAGGGGTATGAGACTCATTATGGGTTTTTTGGCCTAAATTCTAGGCACAATTATAGATCATTCCTGTTCTTACGTAAAATCCTCTTAATTAAAAATCTATCGAACATGAAAGAAAACGAGGTACAGTAGTGACAGACTTGGGCAGTGACCCTGTGAAGAAAGAAACCGGGATATACTGAGCATCGCCCTCACTGACCTGCAATGAGCTAGCTGGGCAGCAGCCTCGCGTTTCCAGCCTGGACTCGGCTCCAGACTTGAGCAGAGCTGGTGTGTCAAGTCTTGGCTGCGAGTCAAATGTCAGGCCCAGTTCGGGACTCCGGGAGTCCGGCCTGATTTTCCTCCTCCGGAGCCCCACGTCCCTCCGCCCGGGCCTCGGCCCAACCCGGCTGGCTCCTCATTCTCGCCTCAACAGAACACAAGCAGCCAGGTCGGTGGTGGTGGTGCTACCGGGGCGCCCCCTGCCGCTCACAAAAGCGGCGGGCCCCCTACCCGTCTCAAGTCACAGGAAATGCACCCGCTGCCCCGGAAGAGAAAACAGGTCCTCCCGCCCACCCCTCATCATGGCGGCTGCTGCCGGGACTGCGCCGGGGCTGGATAGGGTTTACTTCAATAACTTTGCTTAAGCAGAGTCACCCACTGCTTGGTGTGGAACGTGAAAGGAACTGCGTCCCACAGAACATTTTTAAGGAAATCTAGGGTAAGACGCAGAACACGGATTCCCATTATTCTTCCGCAGGGGTAGGGCGGGCTGGGCAGGGTGCCGGGCCCTGACCCCATCCCCTGTCCCTGTAGCCATCAAGCTCCCTGAGAAACTGCAGCAGGCAATCCTGCCCCTCCTGTCCAACACCGACTGCAAGAAGTACTGGGGCAGCAAGATCACCGACGTGATGGTCTGCGCCGGGGCCAGCGGCGTCTCCTCCTGCATGGTACCGCCTCCTCCGGCCACCCTGCCCCACCTCACTGCCCCAGTCCCTGGTCGGTCAGGGGGGCACAGAGCCCCTTCCCTGGAGGCCTGGGCTCCCCACTCCTTTCTGCCCCAGGCCCCAGCAGAAGCCAGAACTAATGGTAATAGATGCCCCAGACTGAGGGAGGGCTTCCTTGGACATTTCTTCCACACACCAGTCTCGTGAGCTGGGGTCTTCAGCCCATTTTACACACACTGACCAGGCTGAGGGGTCAGCCCCACCCCAGGTCCCTCCAAGAGTAGATCCCAGAAAGGTGGAGCCTGGACCCTGGTGGGCATCGTGTTCTGGGGCAGCGGCCAGTGTCATCCCTTTTTACCAGGTGTGTATGCCTGCATCACCAAGCTTATGCCCTGGGTGTGGGAGGTTCTGGAGGCCAACTGAGCCCCCCTCCCCCTCCCCTCCACATCTTTGTAAACCCGAATAAAACCCCAGAGAGCAACTGCTTGGACCTTCATTTCTGTGGCCTTACTGGGGTGGGCTGGGAGCTGGGGATGATGTGGGTGAGGGGCAGGGAGTAGCTGCCTTCACTGGAGTCCCCTCTGTGGAGTTTAGAGACGAGGGTTGACAGACTACCCAGCCCACCCCAGCCCACCCCGATTCTTTGTACCCATAGGGAAACTGATGACCAGAGTCACATACAGCATGGTCAGCTGGGAGTAGCATCTCCTGATTCCCTGTAGTCCCTACCCCCAGCTCGTGCGCCCAGCCTCTCTCTTCAGAGAATCCTGGGTCCAGACTCAGAGAACAGAGATGAGGCAAGCCTGGAGGGGCTGTGGGGACTTGGCCCCAGGCAGCAAGGCAAAAGCTGAAGGCTATGCCTTGCTGGGCCTGCTCTCCACACAGGGCAGGGCCTGTGCACAAACCCCGGCCTGCCCAGGCCACAGCCTGCCCTGACAGCACAGGGAGGGAGGGCACAATGACCCAGAGCAATGGCCCCCTCTGGGTCTCCTCCCTTCAACTTGGAGGCCAAGTCCTTGTGTAATTCAAACTAAAACATTTTGGAAGTGTTGCAGCTGAAATGATGAACTTCCAAGAGCAAAGTTCTAGATAGGCCACTCACAGCCCTCACCACTAATCCCCGTAAACCACCATTTCCATTCAGCAGTCCCAAGGATACAGCTCCTTTCCCACCCACGGGCCCTCTCTGTCTCTCACACCTCTCAGGAGGCTGCTTTCCTTTTTTTTTTTTTTTATTTTATTTAAATGTAGACTATTAGTCAAATGACTGGAAAATCAATAATGAAAAATAGTTCTTTAGGGTTTTCTCCTGGTGGAGAGAAGAAACACACCAAGCTGCATTTTCCCTGTCAGGGGACATGGCACAGGGCTAGGGTCATCCCAGGGTTCACACAAGGTCCTGTGGACTGAGGGACCTGCCACACCCCTGGCCCGGCCCTGTGTATGCAGCTACCTGGGTTCTCACTGTCAGGGCAACAGCACTCGGGGTAAACCACCAGCCTTGCTCCTGGGCTCAGCTCCTCTGAGTAGGTACTGTCCTACACCTTACCCTGTCATAAATATGTACACATCCCTGGGCAGTCGGGGGCACTGGGCCCAAGCAGAGCTGGGGCTGCCTGTCCCCAGCCTGCAGCATAGCAACTCTCAGGATGATGACTAGAGTAGCTCGGACCACTGCTGCCCTTCCCCTGCCACCCTCTCGTCATCTGTTCTCAGGCAGCTGCCAACTGGCCCAGAACCCGGCGGAACTGTTGGGTGCTGTGGCCCAGCTCCTTGACCCTGTCCACCATATCTTGGGCGGCAGCGGGTGACGGGTACTGCAGGGCAGCAGCCTTGGTGGTGGCCACAATGCCGCGCAGGAGGTCGCACAGCAGGTTGCTGTAGTGGGTCACCTGGCTACGCACATCGGCTGCCTTGGCCTGCCGAGAAAGCGTGTCCCCAATGAACACCAGCTTGTGGGCACTGAGGATGACAAACTTGCTGTGTGCCACAAAGATCCTGGGTGGCTGGTTGGTGGCCACGGCGGTGAAGAAGGCATCGACTGCATTGGTCAGCGTGGTCAGGTTCGCCTCGCACTGCTCCAGGTAGAAGAGCAGCAGCTGCCGGTCTGAGGGCCCTAGGCCGCCCGTCCGCCCCGGGACCAGGGGCTGGGTGGGTGTCCAGTTGGCCAGGTCGTGGTCAATGGGCCGTGATACCTCCTGCTCCAGTCGCTCAAACTGCTTCAGCTGTGGCAGCACAGGAAAGCATGAGTGAGATTAGGCTCTCAGAAAGCAGCGTAAAAGCTACACCTAGAGAGTGTTTCCCCTGCGCAAACTGGTAAAAGTTTTTTCTAAACAAGTAATAATAGTCAACACAGCTGTGGTGAAATAGGTGCTACTGGTGGGAGTATCAACTGCTGTTAGCACTTTAGAGGCTCTTTTCTAAATTAACTTTTCACCAGTCTTAAAAGATCACGTACTGTATGATTCCATTTATATAACACTCTTGAAATGACAAAATTAGAGATTAAGAACAAATTTAGTGGTTGCTAGGAGTTAACCAGTACCACCATTTGCTATTGGGTGACCCCATGTGTGTCAGAGTAGAACTGTGCTCCGAAGGGTTTTCAATGGCTGATTTTTTTGGATGTAGATAGCCAGGCCTTTCTTCTGAAGCACCTCTGGGTGGGCTCAAACCTCCAACTTCCAGGTAGCAGCAGAGTGTGTTAACCACTTGCACCACCCAGGGAATAGATATTAATATCCTGGTTTTGATATTGTACTACAGGTACATAAGATGTAGCCACTGGGGAGACTGGGTGAAGGGTACACAGGACATCCCTGAACAATCTTTACAATTTCCTGTGAATCTGTAAATATTCCAAAATGAAAAGTTAAAAAAAACAAAAACTTAGTTCAAAAGTAACTTAAAAGCAACATGGACATCATAAAAAAGATTCATATATACCACAGCAGAAAAAAGAAAAATCATTTGTAACCTCATGCACCTGGAAATAACATCTGTTAAAATTCTGGTAAATTATCTTTTAGAACTACGTACTAAAGTATTTCCAGATGAAATGATATAATGTCTTAATTTGCTTCAGAATAATTGATAAGGGGGGGTGGTTAGATGAAACAGGACTGCCTATTGTACTGATAATGGCTGAAGCTGGATGAGAGGTAACTGGGGGGTCATTTCACTATTTTCTCCTGTTTTATAAATGTATGAAAATTTCCATAATAAAAATTTCCAACAAAGGGAAAAATAAGGCATGTGGTGTTTATAAAATATTCAGAAAATAAACTCAGACACAAAAAATTTGATGAACATTCTTCAAGACATTTTCTTTAAGTATGAGCACTCCCATTTCCTTTTTACTTAGCAAAATGAAAACACACTACACCTTTTCCTCACTTATCGACTATCTCGTTATCCAACGTTTTGCATTTATGACAATAGTAAAAAAAATCTACTATCCAACTGTTATGCACATTAACGACCCACAGCTGGCAGTAATGAATGCAGAGGTGTAAAGCGAGAGTAACGCTGGCTGTGATGGTTAAAGTTATGTGTCAGCTTGGCTGGGCCATGATTCTCAGTGGTTTGGCAGTTACATAATGATGTTGTCATCCTCCATTTTCACATAACACCGATTTCGCATTAACGACCTGGTCTTTGGGACCTAACCATGTTGATAAGTGAGGAGAGGGTGTATATATAATATTTTGTAGACTACTTCTATCACCTAACAATATGTCATTAATTTTTTTCATGTCAGTGAGCATCTATAAAAGCATTTGGTAAAAGGAAAAATCTCCACTAACAGCAGCCCTTGCCTAGGAGAACCTAGGGGAATGCTGTGTTCTCACCAGAGCTGGTTTGAACCAGGGGAGTGAGTGGCAGTGACCAGCCATGTCTAGCATGTCTAAACCTAGGTAGGGAAGGACTTGTTCAGGTCTACTGAAGGTGCAAGCATTGAGTCGTTAAATAGCCAAACCATCGCCCCCATGGTCCCCAACTAACACTTAAAACCTCTGACTTTTCCACTTGGACAGCTACTTGCTGTCTAATCACTGCTCCATTCCCTTGTCCAGTAAGAGAATACACTCAAAGAAAAGAAAAAAAACAACTCTGGTGGGCCTTTTTTTTTTGTCGTTCTTAACAGCTACACAATATTCTACTGTAAGAATTTACTCAAACAATATAATCAAACATTTAGGAGAGGTTTTCAGATGTTCACTTGTGTAAGTCCATTTCTCAAACAATGAAAATTTTATATACATGTATTTTTAAATTACTAACACATATTTCTTTACTGAGTGTTTCCTATGTGCCAGGCACTTTCTAAGTATTTCAGATGATTAAATTAATTTACTCATCAACCCTATGAGGTGGACAACTAACTACACTCCCCACTTCACAGCTGGGGAGATACAGCTTAGAGCATGCTTTCTTGTCCCAGTCTCAGGGCGGGCGGGGGCTCCCTTCTTCTCTGCCATCCTTCTACATGCCAGGGGGAAGGTGGGTGAGGAAAACTATATGGGTGACTTCTGTGTTTACTTTGTGCTATACTATATTCTAATTATCTCCATCATCAGAATAAAACTCCCTTGGTATTTGGAGAAAATTCTACGTAGGCAGATCAACACAGGATTATTACTGATAATAAGGAAAAATGGGTACAATGTAAACATACCACAATGGACGTTATGTGGCCTTTAAAAACAATTTATGAAGCATGTTTAATGCCATGGAAAACCACTTGAGATACAAGCAAGTGTACCTGCTCACAAAGCATCATATCAAACTCCGGAGAGATGCCCAGAGAGGAGCAGGGGCGGAACTCACCCTTTTGTACATTTTTCTGTACTCTCTAAAAGGTCTATAATGATTCTGCTGATAATAATTGAAAATAAACCAAACAAAAAGACAGAGAAGGCCCATGAGGTGAGGGGTAGCTAGCTGAGGGTGCGGGCCCTTGGAGACTAGGCTCGGCTGTGGAGGCAGGGGCAACTGGGTTCCCACTGACTGGTGAGGAGGCTGGGAGAACTGGTTGGGGGTCTCCCTAGCTGGGCCAGGGCCTCACCTGCTGCAGTTCCAGCTGGCCTTTCCCCTGCCGCACGATGCTGTCCTTCTCCAGCAGCTCCTTCTGCGTCTTCTCAAACTCCTCCTTCCCCTGGGGAAGAGACAAGAATTGGCTGAGGCAGGGCCTCCCTTTCAGAACCAGAAACCAGGCCTGGTGGGCGCAGTGAGAGTGAGCGGCCACCAGGTGGCACTGCATGCACACGCCGGTCACCAGGACTGGGTCGGGGCGCTTCCCTAAATTGCTAGTACTGGCTTCTGCCAGCCAGAAGAGGTTGGGCATCCACGCAGACGATGCACACTCCACATGGCCACGGCCAGTCCTCCCCACCCAGAGTCAAATCCAACCCCCTGCCCTCAGCCTACAAGGCCTGGCTGCCCGGGCCTGCCTCCTGTCAGCCTGGACTCTTCTCCAGGACTTTTGTTCACATGGCTGGCACCTACGTCTCTGAGCCCACTCCACCTTCCCACCACCCATGCTATAAATGATCTCTGTTTACTATGAATATCTCCCCAGGATGAAACGGGGCCACTCTGCCTGGTCACTGGAGTACTCCAGGCCCAGGAGGTGCTCAGAAGACAGTCCTGGCAGACACTGCAGGACCCAGATGAGCGGAGGAGAGGGACAGCCTTCCTGGGGCCCCCATCTAGCCTGGCAGGTCACAGTGAGGAAGGTGCAGGACTTGCCAGCCCCACCCAGTGCCTGAGCCCTGCTCTGGCCAGATCCCCTCTAGCCACAACAGTCCTGTGTGTTTAAGGGGAGAACACCAGGGTGCCCAAGATAGAGATGGCAAAGCCGGAGCCCAGAAAGGGGCAGTAGGCTGCTTCCCAAGAGGCCAGGTAGCCACCCACCTGCAGGTGGACGTAGTCATAATCTTCCATCCAGCCCCCCTCGCTGTTCTCATACTGCCCATCTGGCGAGTCCTGGGAGGTAAACTTGGGGGGTGAGGGCAGAGGCCGCGACTGGATGCTGCAGGCCTTGTCAGCAGGGTTGGGATGCAAGGGGCCACCCCCCTCAGGCCCCGGGGCAGGGGCCTTGGTCCTTCTGAAGAGCAGCGAGGCATTGCCATGCAAGAAGGAGGCTAGCTGCTTGGCGTCCTCGGGCACGGCCCGTGAGCAGGCCACCAGGCGGTCCAGGTCCTCAGGAGTGGCCCCCGAGCCTCCCCGGCCACCGTCGAGGGCCTGGCTGTGTGCCGCCAGTGTCTGGTGCACATCCTCCATCTTCTGCAGTTGCCGACTGAGCTTGGCATGCAGGGTACGGTCAGAAGTGTGGGCAGCATTGCCGACGGCACTATGGGCGAACTCCAGCAGCTCATGCACAGCCCCTTGGACGGCAGCCACAGCAGCTCGCAGGTCTTGCACGGGGGGTTCCTGAGGCTCGGAGGTGCCACGCCAGCCCCCACCCCCACCTGTGCTGCCCACCAGGTCCAGGAGGTGGGCCACAGTGGTGCTCACACTCTGCTGCAGTCGGGCCAGAGCCTCCACGGCGACCTCCAGCTCCAGTGGCTCCCGGCCTGGCACCGCCGTCTCCAGGGAAGACGCCGACTGGCTGCTTCGCGTACTGCCCGTGCTAGAGGCTGACAGGCGCTTGGCATCAGCCGGGGCCTCACGCTCAGCTGGGGGAGGGACTGCATACACACCGTCGTCAGCTACAGTGCCGTCGGCCACCTCGGGTGGGAGTACCCTCTCACGGGGCACATCATAGAGAATGCCAGGACCAGGCCGCCGCAGGCCGGGAGGCACGTCATAGAGGTCAGGAGCAGGCGGGGGCACATCGTACACATCCTCGGCAGGTGGCGGGTCCGGAGGGGGTGCAGTAAGAACCAGTGGGTGGCGGGTTGGGTCAAAGGGTTTGGCCTTGGCGAAAGCAGGGGGCACGTCGTACGTCTCCTCGCGCAGCAGTGCACCATCAGGCACATCCTTGCTCACCGACGGAGGAACATCGTACACCTAGGGGGCCAAGCGGTGGTCATGGCTGCATGCCTATCTGCCCACCCCAGAGCTTAAGGGCGGGACCCAGCCACACAGACACAGCCTGGTACACAAACTCGTCATGGTTCCTATCCACAACGGATAAGAGCCAGATGACTTGGGGTCAAGATCCTGGCTTCACTGCTTATGAGCTGTGTGATCTAAGGCAAGTGACTTTACTTCTCTGTGCCTGTTTGCTCATTTATAAGATGGTGATTAACTCCTTCACAAATTTGTTGCAAGGATTAAATAAACTAACTCACGTAACTGGGCAACTGTAAGCAGTGAGAGTTTAGCTACCTATCTTCACCACCACAACCATCACTATCATCACCACCACGACTGTTCATCATCACCACCATCGCTTATGGAACTTCAACTCTGGCAGGTACTCAACTAAGCTATTTGTGTGTTATATTACATCCAGGGTAACCTTGCCCCAGTTTGCCCAGGACAATCCTGGTTTGTGTCAGTTGCCCCCACATATTAGTCATGCCCCTTTCACTCCATATCATCCTAGTTTGTATGATAAATACTGTGGTCACCTTCCTGATATATCCTGTGTGATCCTCTCAACAACCTGCTGAAGGTCCTAAAATGGCCCATTTTAATGATAAAGAAACTAAGGCTCAGAAGTGAGTTCAATTTCCACACCTGTGACAGAGCAAGTAAGGGCAGAGCCAGGGTCTGCAGTCAGGTTTCTTTATGCCCCCAGCCCTGCAGAGACATCAGTCCCCAGTCCTGTGCATACACCCAGTCACAAACTGGAAACACGCACACATACTCCAGGGCCCAGGGCCTGGGGGAGGAGGGGTACCCAGCAGTCAGCTGCTCACCAAGTGGTGGCTGGGTGGTAGCAGGCCCTTCTCCACGCTGGGGGGCACGTCATACACATCCAGTGATGGGTCCCGGCCATTGGGGCCCTTGACGGCCATGGGGGGCGTGTCATACACCTGGAGGCAGAAAACGTTCAGTGATACAGGTACCAAGGCTGTTGGGGTGGGATGAGAAGAGTGAAACCCCACAGCACCCAGCCTAGGACCCCGAGCTATGGAAGCTGGTCCACCAGCCCTGGCCAGGGCTAGAAAGGTCAGCTCCCTGAGCAAGGGCCAGCAGAAGCTCTGGCGGGCCATCCTGCACCTCCCCACTCCGACCACCTACCTCCTGGCCATACTGGCTGGGAAGCAGCCCTCGCACAGGGGGCACGTCATAGATGTCCTGGGGCCCTGGGGCCAGCAAGTGGCGCGGGATGTCGTACTCGTCCTGCTCTGGCTGGGAGGGCTCATACACATAGCCCTGCCCCACACGGGTGGGCACCACCACCTGGGGGTACAGACAAACCGACCATCACCACCTACCTTTGAATGGCCCCTGACCACATGCAAGGCCTCAGGGAGACCCCTCACCCCTGGAAGTCATCTGCTTCTAAGATGGACGAGGCACACAAAGGTGGCAGGGAGGGACTCTATGAGCTGGGTAACAAGGACGGGTTCACAGAGGAAGATGGGATGTGGACTGACAGGAAGGAGGACCAGCAGGGTGAGAGGCCGAGGCCTTGACTTTGGCAGCTCCCTCCTAGGAAGGCCTGCCGGCAATAGACAACCTGACCACAGGGCCCAGCAGCTGCCTTCGCACTCTGGGGACAGAGAGAGGTGCAGGTGCCCAACTGGACCCTGAGGAGCCTACCCTGTCCCTGAAGGTGGCCTGAAGGAGATCTCGACAGTCAGGGCCTGCAACACCCCCACACCCACACAGGGGCTGCTGAACTGGATGGGATGCACCCCAAGGACCCCCAAGACCTTGGGGCTAGTGCTTGGACAGATGGAGGACGGGTGTGGGGTGTCACAACTAGAAGACCCCTGCCTCCTGTCCCTGCACCTACACAGCCACCTTAGGGCAGGCCGAAAGATAAGGCCATAGTGGTGCACTGCTGGTCTAAAGGAGCCAGCCCCCTCCTCATCCCTCCCTGGGTGTTCTTACCCTGGCCTGGCTTCATTGGTGAAGCCCTGGTGCCATGCAGCAGGTGTGAGCGTGGTTGGTGGTGCCTGCTCTGGGGTGCTCACAGCCCCCCAAGAGGTTCAGAGAGCCCCGCCCAGGACCACGCTGCCCCTCACAGTGGTACCCAGCCTGGAAGGGGTGCGGTCATGCTCGGCAGCCCCCTTCTCTGTGGGCATCCCTGCAGGCAGCCCTCTTCCCTGCAGGCATCATTACCCAGTGGGGAGAGGGAGACCAGAGGACTTTCTAGCAGCTCAGGGCATGCCTCCCCCACACAGTTCCCTGTTCAGCTCTCCTCAGAAAGAAGGGCCTTTTGTTCCCTAATCAAAGAGGACAGGACATCTGGGGCAGGGTTGACTTGAGCCCTCCCCAAAAACATCCCGCAGGGCACCGATCGCAGCCAGCTCTGCACGCTGTGAGGGTGTAGGCTGCCTATGCCCACGTGGGGCACCCCAAGAGCAGCAGCAGAATTGCCTTCCCTCCCCCGAAGCATGGGCAGCAGCACTTTCCTGAGGCTTGGCAGAGCTCCTGCTGACACATGCCTTACCCCTCCCGCAGCACACCTCAGGGCAGCACAGGGCCAGGGTGACACTGGGCCCCCGCAGCCTCTGGTAGGGAAACCAGGCAGGGGCTCCATTATGGGACCTCAGCAGCTCAGGGAGCAGCCTCCAGCTGGGTCTTCCTGCCCACCACACCCCACCCCCAGTGTCTGCGAGGCAAGCCTGCCGCTGCCTCTCCAGACTCATCTCCCTCCTAGCGCCCCAGACTTGAGTCTCCTCCAGAGCTATTTTTAGACGCTAGAACTTGCCAACAGCGGGGCGGCAGCGGGGATTGGCGGGACGTGGCAGGTTGGCGGGGCCTTGAGGCAAGGCCTGAGGCTTTGTCTCCAGACCCAGCTAGCTTCCCTTAAGACAAGTGGGGGACTGAGCCCCAAGGGTCAGGCAGAGCACCCTGATGCCAGCAGCAGGTCAGCCAGGACCCAGCCCCAGGAAGGGGGTGCTAACCCTCCCAACCATGTCTGTGAGTAGCCAGATGGGGCCGGGAGAGGGCAAGGAGCTGGGCCCCTGGCCTGGTCAGACGGCTGATTGAGACAGGTGACAGCAAGCAGCCGCACTTGCCAACAAATGTCTTTCGGTTAAAAAAAAAAAAAGTAAGCCAGCCACTGACAGGGAAAAGCTGGACAGGGAAGCAACTCTCCTGAGAGCTGCTAAGCCTGCTAATCCCAGGCCACCCTGCTCTGCACCTGTGGCCCCATTAGCAGGACCTAAAGGCCAGAGTGGTGGTTGCAGTGGGAAGAGGGAACAGGTCAGAGACACAGACCCCAACACAAGACCCCACCCCCTCACGCAACACAGACACACTGAGACAGAGGCAACATACACAACACTAGGCATGAGACACACCACCATGCACACGCAAAGACCACAGACACACACACACAGACCCCAGGCAGGCAGGGACCCAGCAGGGCCAGGGCCTGCTCTCTCCCTCTGCCTCCCCCATCAGGTCTGCAAGAAAAACACTGCAGCCTCAAGGGAGTGAGAAGTGAAGCTAAAGATTCCCAAGATCCCACCAGGACAGGGCAGGGCCCAGAGAGGGAAGGGGGTGGAGGCAGCAGTGGGGGCTTCCTGGACCTGCCAGCTCGCAGCTGCATTTTGTCCTGGGGACCCTGACCTGCCTCTAGGCTGCCCAGCTGCTGGTCCCCCACTCTGCAAAATGGACATTGCCCACAGGACCCAGCCCTACTCTGAAGCTGGACCCTCAGAGTCAGACCTCGCTAGGGCACACCCCACCTCACCACCTGGAAGCCTTGGGAAACTGGGATAACAGCAGCTCTGGACGCACAGGAGCACCGTGGGAGTCCACCATGGCCATCTAATCTAATGTGAAATCATACCTGACCCAGCTAATGGCCAGTGCTCTGTGAACAGGCACCGGAGGAGTCTGGAATGGGCCCTGTGCCCCCCCATAACTGGAGCACACCTCCCCTTCCCAAGCTCCCTGGGTGACTTCCAGCCAAGGGCAGAGCCTGGCACACAGGAAGCTGGGGAGGAGAGAAGCTTCCCAGGGTGAACAGGGTGAAACTCGGGAGGGACAGAGCCTAGCACACACTGTGTGGTCTCCCCTACTCCCTGGCACAGCTGCAACCCCTGACCCAAAAGCACCCCCAAGAGTGACCTCACAAAAACGGCTCCCCCTCTGGGTGTCCCACCTGCACATGAGGGGCCTCCACCCCAGCCCAAGAGTCTTAGAGTCACTGGTGAGGCCCTGAGCCCTTTCCCTCCAGCCCCGCAGGCCACTCGGCACCCAGACAGACCCCACTTGGGGCTTCAAGAGCCCGACCCCTCCTGGCCACCTGGCCTTGTCACTCGCCCTCTTGGCTTCCTGGGTCCCTCCCTCGACTCAGTCCTGGAGGCAGGAGCCTCAGTTTCCCAGACATCTAAGGGGGAGGGAGTGAGTCTCTGAAGGCACAACCTGGAAGGGTGGGCAGAGGTAGACACCAAGATATTTATTGTCATGCTGCTTGTAGTAAAGATACAAGCAACCAGAAACTGCCCAGTGACCACCACCAGGGGAGGGGGCCACGCAGCAAAACTGGGGGAGGGGGGAAGTACAGTCAGGCTTAAGGAGAAGTTTTAATAACCCAGGAAAATGCTTCTGATGTCTGATGCAGAATTTACAACAGTAAAACGCAAATGTATGTGGGATAGATGAATAAACAATATGCAAGATAAAATAACGTCAAAACTTCCCACTGATTACCTCCACATCAGGGAATTTCATCTCTGGGCGTTTTTATACACTATGCATTTTCTATGACAAACAAGCACTGTTTCTGTGACCATAAAATAAAAGTAGATGTGACCAAGGCTGCCCTGGGCAGGGGCAATGAGGTTCCTAAGGGGAGGGCAACCAGGCCCTAGGACACAGGGCTGTCTGTCCCTCGTGGGCCAGCTTCCCAGCCAGGTTGGGGCTCTGGGGACAAGGCTGTGGGCAGCTCCCCCAGGGAGCCCAGTGCAGCCAGGTGTGCCCCTGATGCTGTGTGAGAGCAGGCCCCTCCTGCGGGAGGGCAACAGAACCAGCTGCCAAAACACAGGCTCAAGGCCCCAGAGACGGGGCCTGAGGATCTCGCTGCTGCTTCCTGCGCTGGATCTTGGCTCTCACTACCCTCCAGGCTGAAGTCTGCAGGGACAGCCTCACACTTGCACCAGGACAAGCTTTGTTGCAAGGAAAAGGGTGTGCCTCCCTGCAGTGTGTGCAAAGCGTGGGCCGTGTGAGTGTGTGAGTGAGGAGGGCAATGGACTATGGCCTGTCCCAAGGCTCCCTGGCCAGGCACTACTCCCAGCCGCCTTCTCACAGGACAGCTGCTCCCCCTGGCAGGGCCTGCTCCTTCCCCAAAGCTGGCGGGGGAACAGCCCTACGTTGGGGTGTCCCAGATCTGCCCACCTCTGGCCAAGTGGCTGAAGGAGCACGCGGGGCAGGAAGTAGGAGCCAGTGACCCAAGGTACCCTAGTAGCCAGGCTTGGGGCCAGAGTCCATGCAGCCCTGCCCTTGGCCTACAATGACCACTGGCCAGGTCTCCAGGGTGCTAAGCTCCTCCCTGTGGGCAGGGGCGGAGTGACACTGCCCACTGCCCTGTTGGCAAGAGCTGGGCTCCCGCCTCAGCCCTTGGCTGGCTCCAAGAGTACAGAGGCTCAGTACTGTGGGAAGACTGTCCACTGTCCACTAAGCCACTGTGTTCCCAAACAAAGGCAGCTCTAGACTAGACATGGCAAAAACACGAGGCTAAGGCCTAGGGCTCCAAAAGTAGATCCCAGCCAGGCCTGGGTTGCTTCCCCTAGGGGCCAGCTGCTGTGCTCACCACCTGGCCTCTCTCACCAGAGCCCCCTGGCCCCTCTGTGGAGTGATGTCCCCAGAAGCTGGGCTGGCCTGGCTGTCAGGGCCCCTATTGGTGGTATGGAGATGGGTCCTGGGGCCTCTTAGGTGCAGCTGTAATGGGAGATCAGGCTTGGAGGAGATGGGGAGAGTTGAGTGTGGCAACTTTATCCTCAAAGTCCGTGGGACACCTCCTCTGGGCTTCAGGAAACTCCACTCTCCACTCTTGAAGGGGCTTGGGCAAGGGAAGACACACTCCAAAGGCGAGAAAAGATTGCTCCTGACTCAGCCCAGGGCAGCTGGAAGGCCAAGCACTGTGTGTCCCTCTTCAGTCCTCCCTCCTTCCTATAGGAAGATGGACTTGGTGGGGAGGTGCAGGCTGTGTAGAACTGAGGGTGCTGGGCTCAGAGCCTGAAGTCTTGTCCCAGGCCCAGCATCTGGTTGGCAACAGCCCATGAGGGGCTGGAACCAGTCTCTCTCAGGGTGACCCTACTCTGGCAATTCCACAGGCAGCATCCTCCTCACTGTCTGGGAGCCATGACAGGCCACTCTGCAGGTACCCACTGGCCCACCCACATATCCCCAAAGTGGAGAAGGGCTGGGAGCCTATGGAGCCAGGGTGGCCAGAAGGTGTGCTCAACCCCCATCCAAGGTGGCTGACACAGAAACCCAGATGACTTCCAGGAAGCCCCGAGCTCATGGGGCTGACCCCCCCGCCACGGGCCCCTCGGCCTGCATGACCACCAGGACTAGCAACTAGGGTCCCCTAAGAGCCTGTGTCCCTTCTTTTTTATGATGGCATCCCTATTAATGAGGCCTGTGGCTACTGGAAATACAGGCTCCATTTCTCAGATTCCCTTGCAGCTAGGTGGGCCATGGACTTAAATTCTGGTCAATGGGATGGAAGAGGCATCATACGTAACTCCCTGGAAGCATCTTTAAAGAAAGGGTGCATCCTCCTTCATCCCTTCCTCCTTTTCCTGTTGGCCAGAAGGCAGCCATTCTGGACCATGAGGATGGCAGGTGCCATGTCAATCCTAGATCGCTCACCTCCAAACTTGATTTCCTGGCTGAACTGATACACCGCTCTCCATACTTGATTTCTCTCCATCAAGTACCTCTCTAATACTCCCTCATATTGAGCCCTCCCTTTCCTGGGCTCCCTGTCCCAGCCTTGGTCCCTCTATGTCCTGCTGCATCCTCCACTCTGAGGTCAGAATGATTTTACTGAGATACGGAATTGGGCAGATCACTCCCATGCAAAACCCTCCGCGCTCTGGACAGATCTGCTCTTTGCTGGGCTGCCAGGTGCCTTGGGGATCTGCCCCTCGCCTGCTGCTCTGGCTTCACCTGCCAAGCCCAGCCTAGCCACCCAGAAAGTACCACACTTCTCCATGTCCATGCCAGGCAACCCTACCTTCGCTGGTGGCTTTGTCCCCTCCCAGCTGCGCGTGTCCATGGATGGAGGAACCTGGTAGATGTCATGCCCCATTCCAGCTGAAGGGGGCACCTGGTAAATGTCCTGGGCAGGGCTGCCAGGCCCTGGGGGCACCTGGTAGAGGTCTGGGGCCGAGCTGGGAAATGGGTGATGGGGAGTTTGCTTTGAGAACGTGGACGTCTGCTTGGCCGGGGGTGACTGGAACTGTGGGCTGGGCCCAGGGGCTTGGTAGAGGCCGTGCTGAGCCTTGCCCGGGGTGGGCACCAAGTAGACACTATCGGGCGGGGGCTGGTACGTGGCGGGGAGCATGGGTGTGTACTGGGAGGCCGGGGGCACTACGGGGGCATGGAGGCCAGGCTGGGCCGGGGTGGTGGGCGGGCCAGAGCCAGCCCCCGCTGGCTTCTTGTCATACATGCCCACCAGGATCTTGAGGCGGTTCCCGGGCACGATGCCTTGGCGTCCATGCAGTGAGCAGAGCCACCAGCCATCCAGCCCCTGCGTGTCCCGCTCCAGCACCGTCATGATGTCGCCCTTGCGGAAGGAGAGCTCGTCTGGGGACTCAGCCACGTTGTCATAGAGGGCTTTGGCCAGCACATTCTGGGGAGAAAGGACACAGGCGGGGGTGAGGGCAGGAGTACTTCCCAGTGGGCTCAGTGGCACTGCCTGCTCCCATCCCACCCTGACAGGGACGTGTCCAGCTTTGGCACGGTCCCAGCACGTTTTCCCCCACCGCCCACCACTGGAAAGGCCTAGCTGATCCTGGAGTTTTTCTCAACTGAGCCTCCCAACTGCTGTCACCACCAGCACTGCAGGGAGGACACTCAAGATGATCTTAAAAACCACTCCCCAAGTCACACACAGCCTGGGCCAGCATCAGTAGAGCGGCGGTAATGAGAATCACAGCCACTACGCTGAAAGAGAAAACACAAATGATTATCTCAAGAGATGCAAGAAAAGCAGCTGGCGAAAGTCAGTAACTTCTTAGGACAAAAATGCTGAAAAAAGAAAAAGAAGAAGAGAAGGAACTTCCTTAACTTGATAAAGTCCATCTACCAAAAAATCAATTGCTAACAGAGAAACTTCATATACCTTCCCTTTAAGGTTGAGAAGAAAACAGGGTACATACTCTCTCTGCTCCAGCTCACGCAGTCCTGCTGTCTTGGCCAGTGCAATCAGCCAAGAGGAACAAAATGAGAGAGACAGACAGAGAAAGATGAGGCCAAAACAGCCATCACTCGCAGACTAGACGATCATCTACAGAGAAAACCCAACAAACAAGAAGAAAGAATAACTGATGAGAAATGTCACAAAAAAGACATCACACATAACAACAAGAGCGGTAAGGCACCAAGAAATTAATCAAAGACTGCATTAGACCTCAGAAGAGAAAACATTTCACATCTCTCAAAGGATTCAACGGAAAACATGGTAAGTGGAAAAATGTACCATGTTCGTGGAGGGATGACTTAACTCTGTAAAAAGTCAATTCACTCAAGCTTACTTAATAAACTCATCACAATTAAATAAAAATGCCAGCAGGATTTGAGGAATTGACAAAAACGCTCCTAGAATTAAATGAAGGCATAGAGGTCCACGAATAAGCAGGTCAAACCTGGAAATGCAAAGGAAAGGGGAATTCACCTTCGCAGCTGCGAGGACAGGACACAATGTTCAAGCAAAAAAATGGGGAGAGGGTGGCTGCTGGCATAGGAACAGACACAGGGACTAATGGACAGCTCACAAACGGACTCACTCTTTATGGGAACTTGGATGATAATGCAACAGGGAAAGGACACAGTGCTGCACAGACGACACTGGGCAAACTCACTGTAGGAGGACACGTCAGTTTCAACACCTCCCATTACATACAAAGGGCAACTGAAGACTTAAATGTGAAAGGCAAAACTCTAGAAGTAGTGAAAGAAAAAGCTGTAGGGAGTACAACCAAACACATCCCAGGACAAAGATACTAGGCTTGAAGGCTATGGACCGTAGATTCAGTGGACATCCACGTCAACTGGCATAACAGTACATAAAAACAATGTCCTAAATCCTATTTTGGTGAGCAGCATCTGGGGTCTTAAAAGCTTGCGAGCAGCCATCTAAGATACAGCTAGTGGTCTCTTCCAGTCCAGAGTAAAGGAGAGTGAAGAAAACGAAAGACTGAAGGGAGTAATTAGTCCAAAGGACTAACAGACCACACACACCACAGCCCATATGACCTCGAGACCAGAATTAGATGGTGCCCGGCTACCATTACCAACTGCTCTGACTGGGATCACAATAGAGGGTCCTGGACAGAGTGGGAGAAAAATGTAGAACAAAAAATGAAATTCATAAAAAAAGATCAGACTTACTGGCCTGATAGAGACTGGAGGAACCCTTGAGACTATGGCCTAAGACACCCCTGACGTGGAACTACAGCCATTTCCGGAAACCACCTTTCAGCCAACTAATAGACAGGCCTATAAAATAAACAGTAACACCTGAAAAGAACGTGCTCTGTAGCACAAACAATTATACGAGACCAAAAGGGCAACATTTGTCCAAAAGTAAAGATGAGAAGGCAGGAAGGGGTAGGAAAACCAGATGAAAGGATATAGGGAACCCAGAGCAGAAATGGGGAGAGTGTTGACACAGTGTGGGGATTGCAACCAATGTCATGGAACACTGTGTACAATTTGCTGAATGGGAAACTAATTTGCTCTGCAAACTTTTACCTAAAACACAACATTTAAAAAAAGAAAAGTGTAAGGAGAATATTTTTGTAACTTGAGGCATGGGAATATTATGAAACAAAATCCCAAAAGCAAAAGGCCCCAAAAGCACAAATCATAAAATAACAACCACAAAATTTGACTCCATTCTAGTAAAAGATTTCTGTTAGATAAGAAACAAAGCCGAGAGAAGGGTGGCAGGTTGTGAAAGGACAAGACAGTGATTAATCTAGAATTCAGGGGAGCGTCTACAAATCAGAAAGGAGAAAACAAGTACACAACAGAAAACCCGACAAATTGTGAAGAGCGAGCTCCTGAAGAGCCTGCAGGAGGGATGCTTGGAGTTCCAGCAAGTAGGAGCGGCACTGAGGCACCTAAGACCTGCTGTGCACCCCTCAGGGGCTGCTGTGTTGGGGCAGTGGCACCTGGTAGTGCTGGCAGGGCATTCACAGGCCCAACCTCAGAGATCCCGAGGAGCCCAGGGTCACACACACCTCGCACAGGGTACTTGATCCTCCCGGCCTGAGGCCACCTGGGTCCCCCACAAGGCCTGGAGCAGTTGAAGGTGAACGTGGTCAACCACGGGGGTTGGGTCTTAGCCACAGGCTCCTGAGCTAAAGTAAGACACAGCTCTTCAGCCCAGACCCTTTACGTGAATGTTATAATGGTATATTTACCAAAGTCACTTATCTAAGGACAGATTCCAGCCACATGACATTGGTGTGGGTGCTTCTGGGGCATGAGGAACAAACAGGGAAAATAAAACAAATCAGTAAAGGGGTCCCATCCACACCGAGGTCAGCACTCGAGCAGCATAAGCACCCCTGTGGGCGCTCACCAAGGGGCCACAGCACAGGTTTTTTACACTCCCACTATCCACCATTTTCACAACCACCCTGGTCCTGCGATGGACCTCCGTTCCCGCCAACAAATACGCTGTGTAGCCCCCAGGCCCTGGAGCCAAGCAGCCTATGCAGTGCGGACAGGCCAAGTGATTAGAGGCAGGCACTGGGGAGGGCAGGCACAGGGCAGAGGCGCTTCCCTCTGGCCAGGCAGTTTCAGTCCCCCTCCTTCTAAGTCCTTACTCCCTGCTCCCTGCTCCCCTTGTCCTAGGTGCTGGGCTCAGGGCCAGAAGGTCAGAGGCCCCAGCAGGATTATGTTCAGCAGCCTCCAGCAGGGGGCAGGAGTGAGCAGGCATGGGGTGGGGAAGAGAAGGCCAGGGCTCCTAGGGCAGCAGAGCAGGTCCCAGAGGGCAGTGCCAGGCCAGCAGGCTGGTGACTCCCTCTGGGCTCCGGCCCCATCGGCCAAGCCTTCACTTGGGTCAGCCTTTTGAGGTCCCTCCTCACAGTCTCCCAGGGTCTAAGATGTACAGCCTGGTCTAGACCTCTGGCTCGGAAATAGGACCTGGGCTCTGACACCCACTAGCTGTGTGATCTTCCCTACCTGGGCCTAGTCCTCTTGACTCCATCTCCAAAGAGTCAAACAGGAGCTAGAATTAAAGACGGGAAGGGTCAGGCCCCCTCCATCAGAGACAGGAAGTGGGAAGTGGTCGGGGCAGGGAGGAGTGGGAACAGGGCCTCATCCAAGTCCAGGAAGGCCCACCTTCTCCCTCTACCAGCATCCAGAGCCAGAATCTCATCCACCATACCAAGGATAATGAAGGGGACTGAGTAGTGCCAGGAGGCAGGGTGGCATACTGGGAGGGGTGGAGCAGACAGTAGGTGCTCTGGAGTCCGGGACAGGGTGCTAAGATCCAGGCCCTCATTTTCCCAGGCAGCCATTAGCTAGCCCCACTTCTCCAGAGCAGCTCAGAGCCTCCAACCCCAGGAGGGCCAAGTCCAAGTCCAAGGGAGGAGCCAGCCCCATCACACTGTACCCACCCAGGCAGGGGCTCAGGGCCGGAGGAGTGGGGGGGGCCTCACCTCAGCACCAAGGGCAGTGCTCTCAGAATTGCTACTTACTGTGGCACCGTCCTCAACACCTGGATAAAAACAGAGTTAAAAACACAGAGGTGTAAATGATACCTCAATAAAACGTCAGAGTGAGCAGAAAGGAGCAGACAGGGTAAGAGTAACGGTGTTTATGTTTGAGACAACAGAGCTGCTCTCTCTTCCTGTTATTCAAAATTTTAAAATTTGTATTTAATGAGTATTTCTTGCTATGGGGTTGGAAAAATGCACATCCTGAAGAAGAAAACGTGGACTAACTCCTGGGATCCGAGCCAGGATGGACAGAGGAGGCTGTGACAGCTCCGAGGCCAGAGCCTAGGCAGGGCAGGGGCTGCCCCAGCCCACCAGGCTCACAGCCCCCAAACCTAAGCTGCCAGCAAAAAAGGCCAAGTTCCCAAATATGGTCTGCAGCCTGCCTCTGGGAATCACATCCCGTCAGAGGGAGGGACACCGACCCATCCTCCCCCAGTGACCCCAGAGCATAGCCGCCCTGCAGGGTCCCCCAGCCCCTGCCTTGGTGACCACAGGAAGTGCCAGCAAAGTGAATCAGAGGAAAATTCCCCTGCAAGCGAGTCAGAGGGGTTCACCCTGCACCTCCGAGAAGGCAGACCAGGGAAGGCTTACAGCACCGTGCGCCAAGGCCCTCAGGCAGGATGGGCACCTAGGGGCAAAGGCAGGGAGGCTGGATGGGCTCTGCTGAGGGCAAGATCTGAGGGGGAGGGGACTCCACCCCGGGCCTAGCTGAGCAACTGAGGCCTCAGGCCTCCCAGGGTGGCCAGTCCCCACCCTGCCTCGGCAACATGAGCTCAGTGAGCCGGCAGCCAATGGCGGCTGCAACTGTATAGTCTGGGGTGGCCGGAGTCAGGCTGGG